CTTGGCCGAACCTCATGCTAACGGACGATGACATGCATAAACACATCAAATTTGAAAGAAAACCTCTCTTGGCCGGACGCGTACCTTTTGGTAATGGACGTTTCAAATGCTTGCAAAATAGTTTCGTATTTTTCATATTCTTTTATCTCTTTTATCTTTTTCACTTTTATTTCTTTCTACGTATACCCATATGATCTACTAAAGATTTTTATAAAATATCTTAACATTCGCTATTTGTGCACATATTATTGTTGTTAATTAAATATTTCACAGTTATGCTCCGTAATAATAGTAGATCTTGAACAAATATTGCAAATAAAATTAAATCTGTTGTTATTTAGCTCAGGGAAGGAAATACTTTAATTTTACTATAATTTGCCATGGTAGTGAATATCTGTTTTTATACCCTGTACCCGTAGGGTAAAAAGGGTATATTAGGTTTGTGGAAAGTATGTAACATGCAGAAGGAAGCATCTCCGACCCTATAAAGTATATATATTCTGAATCAGCATGACAAAAGAAATCGATCTAGACATGTTCGTCTGCCCGTCCGTCTGGATGAACGCAAGGATCTCACAAACTATAAAAGCTAGAATAACCAAAGTTGGTATCCAGATTCTCCTAGATCCTAGAAAGGGCGAGTTTATTTTTTTTTTTTGGAATTTTCCCCCCTCCCCCGCTACAGAATTTCAATAGCGTCCACATTTCAAAAGCTAAACCAAATTTTGCACACATAATTTATACATTATATCTACTTTTGTTTCAAATTGCATCTAAATCGGTTAATTCTAAGAAAAGTTATAAGCGAAACAATTTCACTCTGGTACTTCGCCCACAAGCTGCAGCATCAAGTTCGCTCTTCTTCTTCCTTTTGCTTCTGCTAGAGGCGCATATACCTCAGGGTCGGTAGTTTACCTGGGTACAGGCTATTTCACTGTCGGGCTTGCTCGACTGTAGCGTTCTCTCTTGTTCATATTAAATAAGGTCAATTTATTTTAATCGCCTAAATAGAAAAACAATTAAAATAAGCAAAAAATGGGAAAAAAAGTCTATGTATCCACTTAACCGGACCCTTAGCTTGGCCGGACAAAATTTGGTCGACGGTGAGTGTCCGGCCAAGTGAGGTTTCACTGTACTCAATGATATCATAATTGATTTACAAACTATACGATACAACCTATTCCCTAAATTATTAATTTCTCACAAATGAAACCAAATGACATATAGAAAACAAGAAAGGAATGCTAAAGTCGAGCAGGCTCAACTCTTAAATACCCTGTACCACCCCACAAAAAAGTAATTAAATTAATTAATTAATTTAATTTAATTAATTAATTAATTTAATTTAATTAATTAACTAAATTAAATATAAAATATTCCATGCATGCATTGCATACATACATTTACATTTACATCAGAATCGTGCCTTATGCGTGTTTGTGTACTTGTACATATGTATGTATGTGTGCATTGGGCCTGGTTATATGGCTATAACTTTCTTTCCGATCATTCTATCATAATGAGACTTAGTATACGGTTATATAATAACTAACCTAATGTGACTATCAAATTTTACTTCAAAATTTACGGGAGTTATAGAAAATCGTTAATAGGGGGGGAGTGGGGGAATGGATCAGAAAAAATGAACAAACTCGTCCTTTCTCGGTCTCAGGAGAATCTGTATACCAAGTTTGGTTATTCTAGCTCTTATACTTTCGGAGATCCTTGCGTTCATACAGACAGACAGACGGACAGACAGACGGACATGGCTATATCAACTCGGCTTGTCATGCTGATCAAGAATATATATACTTTGTGGGGTCTACCAAGCCTCCTGTGTTCCATGTGCACTCGCACAAAACTAATATACCCTTGTACCCTTTGGGTACAGGGTATAAAAAATCCACAGTTATCGTTTATTTTGCATGAGCTCTTCAATTTTCACAACAAAAAACATGTTTTTTTCGTCCCAAACTAACCGAAATCAAAGATAGCAAGAGATGTAGATGTGCAATACAACGACTCTGTATCTTTGCAGCAGCATTTAAAAGTCATTACTAAGACAAAAAGCGCAACAAGATGATCCAAAGAGAAAAACTAAAATTTTTGTACACCAACCTAAAAACAATAACACGCACTTATAGTACGATTTAAACCTACTCCGCCTCAAAACTAACGCCGCCAGTCAGTTACCCTCCTCCTCAATAGTTGCTGCTCAGCCACATGCCCAGTGTCGTCACTTTTGTTTGATTGCGCAAAAAGTAGGTCGGTCGGCACGGCCGGGCCAGACGCTGATGGCTGCCACTACTGCTGCTCGCGCCGCTATATGCTATAGAGCAACAACAACAAAGCATCTCATTTAAATATTTTACATGTTTCTTTTAAGCGCAAACGTGTGTGTATGGCTTGATATTGAAATTTATATTGTTGTTTTGTTCAACATTTTCGTTTCTCTGTCTTTATTTATTTGCTTTAAACCGCATGTTTTTGTCGCTTTTCGTTTATTCAGTTTATATGGCGTCGCCTTTTAGCGACTGAGAGCCTCATGATGTCCACCTTGATCAGAGCCACACCATAACATTAATTAATTATATTGTTTAATTCTATATGCAAATTAATTTATAACCAAGGGAGCTTTTTTCATGTATAGAGAAAACAGATGGACCACATTCCTATAAAGAACGTGATAAAAAATCATCATATGGCTGCTGCCATAATTCAGATATATTGAGGTCAAGTTGTCAAGTAACCAAAAAGTTGAGGAAATATCGAGGCGATCATATACGTAGTACATTCATATGCACATATATTATTAGAATTAATTCATCGAATCGATTAATTCGAGAAAAATAGTTTTCATTCCAAAATTTTTAGTTAAACAGATGTGAGCTCAGAACAAAACATAACGCCCCCATTGTGGGTGGACTAGTCTCTGTTTGCTGAACACCACCTGCTTATCTGTAAGATACTCGGTCAGAAACCAGTTCGCAGCATAACAGCCAAATGGAAAACTTGTTGTTTTTATTGTTGCTGTTATGATTGGTTTGATTTTCTCTGAAACGTGAATAGTTTAATTAGAACTGCTTTTCAGTGCCAATGAATGCAACTAAACGGAGTCACGTAGGCACTGCGACCAGTGAGAAAGGCAAATGCTGCACATGCATTTTTATATAAGATATATATATATATATACACAGGGTGCGCCATCTTTTATGTCGGTATGCAAACATTGAATATTCTTGAAAATAAACAACCGATTTTCAAGTAAGAGATATTTTTATTTAATTTGGTTCTGTACAATTTCTTGAACTGAGGTTTTCAATACTGGTCTTCTCAAGTCAATCGGTTCACTAATGACAAAGTTATTCAATATCTACATACCGACATAAAAGATGGCGCACCCTGTATATATATATATACGTATGTATGTGAATACATGTGCATATAAACTGCAGATTTTAGGTGCACCATCAACAACATTTAAGCGAATAAACTTTAAGCCGTATCCGTTACTAACAGAAATAGCACTACAAATGAAAAATGTTACTGAAAGCGGCAGAAAAATAAATTAATAAACAAAAAATTCAAAACATAAGAAATAACTTGTTCCAATAACAGGTTTTTGAATAAGTTTACGCACGAAGTGCGTACGACATGAGAAACAAGTGGTAAAACAGAAGGCCAGAAAAGTTCAACGCAGTTCGAAATAAAAACAGAGGCCAAAAATACCTTCGATGTGATTTTTGTTGGAGGGATTGTTTCCTGAATCAAGCTTCAACCGTCTGTCGCACACGCCCCTTTGTTTTATTTCCCATTGCGCGCTGTATCCTGTCGACTAACTGCCCTTTCGTTAATGACATTTGAAGCACTAGGTGCATATGTTTCTAGACTAGGGCCGTGAGAGGCACGTAACGTTAAAGTGTGTATTTTATAATGAGTGCACTTTAAACTTAAAGCACACAAATACTCATAAGTTATTTGCAATTATATTTTGACCATTTCATTTTTTGTTAAACTTTTTACGGCGCTTCTCAAGGTAAGGTCTCGGTCACGTTCTCTTTTATTATTTGCCTCTACTTCTCGTCAATGCAAAAATTCAAATTCAAATTCGAATCCGAAAAGTGCTGTATATAATTAACGCCAATGAAGACAAGATTAATGGCTATGCCAACGATTTTTCAATATGTCTCTCTTTTGCAGTTTGGGCTGTTGATCTTTGCCCATCACCTTTAAAAAATGCACAAGCAGAAGTCTTATAGTTGTAAACAATACGAAATGATAAGCAGCTTGTACTTTTGTTTATAAGCATTAATAGGAACTTAATAAAAATCAAGTAAACTGAGTAAAGATTGCGTTAGTATATGTAGATATTTCGAATTATATTAGCCAGTTAAAGATGTATGTATAGCCATTTAACCTTTTAGGCAATTTGCCGATATTATATACTATATGCACATTTACTCTTGTAGGATTGAATAAAAAAGTTTTTAGTCAATGTGTGCTAAGTTGAGCAATTTTCTATTCGTCAGCAAGCACTACGGATTGAGATGGACGTGGTGGATCGAATCGCGTGATCTTCGGTCATGGCAGCAAATTCAACGAATCGCATTGCTTACGGGGGCACATGTGCGGAGCAGAACAACGACTCTCCGACCGTTCATGACGGCGGTTAAGGAATTTTTCAAAGAAACGGCTTAACTGCAACCCTCTGCGTTGCAACCTAACAATACAAGCAAATTATTTAGATATAGATACACATATATATATATACATATGTTGTTATGTGGAATATGAATAAAAAATAAACATGAACAACAATCGTGAAAAGACGTCAAAGTATGCGACGTCGACAACTGCTGCTGCTGCTGAGGAAAAGAAAGCAAATCGCTTATGCAATAGCAGCGAACGATCCAAGAGATCACATGAGCAGGAGTGTGGGAAGCGGGTAAGCACTGGACAACTATTCGAATTGGGGTCACGCAGTGGTGACTATAACTCACCTTCGTTTCTCCTTTGGCTTGCCGCTGGCGGTTAAAGCAGTGCCTCCGCCAGACGTCGCGGGTTTGGTTCCAGTGGCAGCGGCACCGCGTTGCTTCTGCTCCTCCGCTGCCGCATCGATTTTATCAATTAACGAGACCATTTTCTTCACAATGATCAATTTGCAGCAACATCCAAATTTTACGTATATCTGAGGATTACTGTTGACTGATTTCTGTAACTATTGCTATAAACTTATTTAATCCTCAGAGGCACATGCAATTAATTGGCTTTCAAATATTTGGAAAATTAGATAAATTATTCTCTAATTTGTCGTTCGTTTGAGACTCTTCAGGGTGTATTTTTGTTGCTATCGGTGTGTTTTGTTGTTGTACTAAAATAACCGACTGGATTGTGGGCTTTTCACTTTGTATTTTTTCAAAATCTCTTTTGTGCTCCTCTTTCGTATGCAGCAACAGCGCACACACCAGTATGTAACTGCGTATTTGTGTGACCGTGTGTTTTCTGTGTGTGTGTGTATTTTGTATATGTATGCGCGACACAGAAACACTTTGCTATTTACACTTCTCACTGTGTTTCCTTTTAAACTTTTAAGCTAATTATGCTTCAAATATTGGGTTACTGAAGCTGCTATTTCTTTCTGCAATAAACACAAATGTGATATTATTTAATCACCCCTACTGGCTGCTTCTTGTTGTACTAGTTGTTGTCGTGGCTGTTGTTAAAATTATGTACATATATTATGAATTTTTTCGACACGGATTCGAAAGCAATTCGCACAACACTCACTACACTGGCGGCTGTTGGTAATTGAACTTTCTATTTTGTTACTATTCTATCTCGTTTGTTTTTAAAGCGTGTTAGTCTGCTGGCAATGGCCCACAAGGTTATTTGTTGTTGCTGTGTTTTTGTGCAGCTGTCTCACGACCTGATTGCACTTCTTTACAAATTATTGCACTTTGAAATTCTGCACTGACTTAATGTTGAGCTCGCGTTGTAACATTTCACATATGCAATTAATATGCATATTATGCATTTTACAAAACGTTAAATAACATAATATCGACGCGAATTGTCCACTACGACTTCTCGGTTGTTCGCAATATTTTGAGATGAGACCTGGAATCATCGCTGCTATCGATAGGTCAAACCAGTATATCGATTATTACCAACAACTTCATAAGCAAAACAGAATGAAAAAACAGCTGGTAGGGCTTAATAGAAATATTTTTTGTATTTGTAAGTTGCGAAATATTTGAATTCAACAAATCCCACAAAGTTTACAAACTAGATTGTACTTTGTTGTTTTCATTTTCGACTGTCTATTCCTGCTTAGACACTGCTGAACTGGTCTGCGGGGTGATTTGACCAGCAGCTGCAGCGGCTGCTGCCCCGGCGCCGCCTGATAGCTCGTCAATATCCTTAACCCCGTTTCTCTCACTATCAGCGTTCATGACCTCGCCAAGCGCATCATCCTCATCATCATCGCCACCAGATTTGTTGTAAACTGTCGGATACTGCTGGAAACAGTCTTGCATAGTGCGGAAGGCCTCATAACAATCAGAGCCCTTTGGATCTGCCTCGCTGTAGTGAAAACACGAAAACGCTTCACGGAACTCCACACCGCATGGTCCCGTGGCCATTCCCCCCAGGCACGGACAGCTCCAATTTATTTCACCGTCTCGCGTGATTAGACTTTGCGGCGGTTCCGGTGCAGGCAATTCGATTGTGCTGGGTGTAGAATGGTCCTCTTTGGTTGCAAATATGACCTTATCCTTGCCAAAAACCTTGCAGTATGAGTATGCCATTTTAAGAGTGTTTTTTCCTAAGAATTTGGGCTATCTTCTTTCGTATTGCTGGCTTCTTCACCAGCGGTAGGATCTGTCCCTTTCTCAAAGTCAAGTGGTGTATTTGAAGTTTCGAGTACTTGAAAGTGGCACGGTACCTCCTGGTAGTGGCCAATTAAAGTCACGGCGGTACGTGTGCGCTCAAAAAAGTCCTCGGGCACGCGGAAGACAACACGCTTCTTTCCCGCACTGAATCTGACAATATCCAACTGGGTTTTCCCCCCGATTTCACCAAAAAAACTTTCTAATGAGTTCAAAATGCAGCCCCTAAAATAGGCAGGTGTAAGCACAACTTGTTCTGGGTCGCGTAATTTCCTACATGCAAAAACAAGAAACATTAGTCAGACAGAACCCACAACAACACGCACGTGGGCCTGCCGATAGAGTACAAACTCTAGAAAACCGAAAGTTTTTCACTTACAACTGTACGTCGAAGTAATAGTATCCACTCATACTTCAGTACCAGCACGTTACAATCCCGGCTCCTGTTGCCCGGTTTTCATTGACTTTAATGCAATAGATTGCAACAAATGCAACGCCGGCCCTTTTTCGGTCCTGTATTTATGTAATTTTGCTGGTGCCAATCGATAACGATTAACAACGTCGTGTGTTATTGTTGCTCAAGGCGAATGACAACTGTGAAATCGGTCACTCATTACTTTTAACAAGGAAGCCCGCGAATTTCTAAGATAATTATTAAATACAAAGGAAATTGTCGAATTTTGTGTATCAGAAAAGCAAAAAACGTAAACCATAAAATTTAACAGATATTCAAAATTGTCTACCTGCGCAAGGAAATATGGCAAAGCAACTGGATATGGAAATGGCTACGGGCACAACTGCCGATGTCACTGATGAAGATGAGGATTGCGGGCCGCTGCCGCTGGTGAAATTATTGGTATAATATGCCATAACCTGCGTAAGAAAGATTGTTTAATTCGTGTATTGTCCTGCACAGGATCAAAGCGACAAGATCACTTCAAAGGAATTGAAGTTGCTTCAAAATGCTGGATACCACACAGTTGATGTCGTGGCTCGTGAAATGCGCAAAAAGTTGTTGAGTATTAATGGTCTCGGCGAACAAAAAGTTGACTTGATTCTTAAGGAGGCCAAGAAGTTGGTGCCTATGGGCTTCCAAAGCGCCCGCGTCTTGCACCAGATGCGTGCCGAGACAATAAAGTTGACCACAGGATCCAACGAGCTTGACAAGCTGCTCGGAGGTGGCATCGAAACAGGTACAATAACAGAAATTTTTGGGGAGTTTCGTTCTGGCAAGACGCAATTGTGCCATACTCTGGCCGTAACCTGTCAACTACCTATATCACAGGGTGGAGGCGAGGGTAAGTGTCTATACATAGACACGGAAAACACATTTCGCCCCGAACGCCTGTCGTCCGTAGCGCAACGCTATAATATGAATGCAGATGTGTTAGACAATGTTGCTTGCGCGCGTGCCTATAACACCGATCATCAGATGCAGCTGCTGGTGTTGGCTGCGGCTATGATGGCGGACTCCAGGTGTGTAGTTTATTATTCTATTGCAAGAATTTTGGGATAACTGTAAGAAATCAACAGATTTAAAAGAAATTTTCATTACGTAACGTACCAATTTTAATGTCGAAAACATTCGAAACAAATTTATTCATAAATATTTTCCCATCTCAGTGGTAGCTCAATAAGGATAAACTTATTCATTCGAAACAAAATTTACTACAACACTATGTTTCTTATCTCGTCAAGAGGTTTTTATATTGCTATTTTGAATAGAAGGGCAAAAGGGTAAACTAGAAAGCCTTATCGCCAATTTTATAAAACAAGCAGGATGCTAAGTGCCAGATCCCATCTTATAGGTACATACATAAGTTGTGATCAGCATCGATGTCTGTATTTACTGTCTGTAAGAACACCGAGATCTTTTAATCATATCAGCTAGGGATATAAAACTTGCTATGTAGACTTGCTTTATCCATACGCAGAACAATCTTTCATTTTTCAATAAAGTTTTGATTAGTTACTGGGACTGTGCTAAAACGAGTGCGCGAGTAATTGGTATATTAGCGTGGGACGAAGGGCGACTTGAGAGTTCTATCCGTTTTTCTTTGTATTTCTAATTCATCTAATTGCGATTCGCGTTAATATAGTACTTACAACATTTTTCTTTACTCAGATATTCCTTACTCATTGTCGACAGCATTATGGCTTTGTATCGAACAGATTATGTAGGACGCGGAGAATTGGCACCACGCCAAAGTCACTTGGGAGTGTTCTTGCGTTCCCTACAGCGCCTGGCCGATGAGTATGGTGTAGCTGTGGTCATTACCAATCAGGTGATGGCACAGGTTGATGGTGCTGCAATGTTCGCCGGCGGAGACTCCAAAAAGCCCATTGGTGGACATATTTTAGCACATGCGTCCACAACTCGTTTGTATCTGCGCAAGGGCAAGGGAGAGACACGCATATGTAAGATTTACGACTCGCCCTGCTTACCCGAATCGGAGGCAATGTTTGCCATACTACCAGATGGAATAGGGGATTCAAAACAATGAGCACGATTCAGTTAGGAGTAATCAACAGGGGCTGAATAAATATTATTGTTATTTTAACACTGCTTTATATGTAAGAGGAATAAATATGTAGAGGTATTTTCCAAATAACGGCTACCGTTTATTTCTCGCTAAGATCTGTGTGAATATGTGTACGTACATAATGTGTGGGAGTGGTGGGGTATACTTAAGTTACTATATAATCTGTAGTCAATTGGCGCGTAAAGTAGCTTAAAATAATTATTTGATACACCCGACAAGTTGAAACGGATCCCAAGCCATGTCGATGATGTTAGCATTGGGTTGCTTAATAGTGGATTATAACTAATAACAGGCCTTGCAATGTAAACTAAAATGATAACAGTAATTGCTTCGCGCGTGCGTATGTTCTAAAAACTCCAGTGAGCATTCCATCCTTCCATTATCATCGAATACGGTATAGCATCGCTTAAAAGTAACTAAGATCAGTTATGAGTAAAAATGTTAGGTATTGTTCACGGAATATACATATAATTCATTGGCACTCACCTTAAGGTATGTGGAACTGGCATCGTCCGCTTAAGATCGATTCCTTACAATCTCCATTACTGTTTTACATGCTCGCCAGCTACCGTTGTGCTCTCCTTGGTCTCCACCAGATGGTTATAGGTGCGCTCGTTCATCGAAATACGCAATGTGTCGTTCAAATTCTTTGTATAATTCTTATAGATCTTCACCTTTTCGCAGAACTCTACCCAAAAGTTCACCTCGGGTTCGGGGTTAAAAAGTGCTTTGAAGCCATCGTAAATGGCTGTCGAGACTTTTCGGATGATCTGGGCTTTTTCCTTAAACTCCACCTCATCGGACACGTCCATTTTCCAAAGTTCCAAGTTGCCCACATATCGCCGCAATCGACGCATTATGTCCACACATTCTGGATTTCGCAACAGCATCAACTTCGTTAGCTCAATCTCTTTGAACTGTTCGAGAATCTCTAAGCATTTGCCCACATTGGCGCGACGCAGACCTAAACACTCACGCAGCTGTTGTGACAACTGTATAAAATCACGTTCCATGAACAAGGCATCCTCTTGCTCAATCAGTTCCTCAATAAATCGTACAGCCTCCTGCTTCGGTATTTCTTCGCGCACCGGCTCAACAATAATTCGTTCAGGCATGGACTCGGGACTGATCTGACCCGTTTCCAGTTTAAGCTTAAGGTCGATGGCCTCATTACGCGACTTTTCGATCCACGCCTGTTCTTCAGCAGGGCTTTCGAATTTTTCGGGTTTATTGTAGTTTATCTTAATTCCCAGACACTTAGCAGTTGGCATATATACCATCATCAGATCGTTATGCATGGGCTGTTCGAAATAAGTACAAATATACAACCAATTCATTCGTTGCAATGTAATTTCAATAAATTAATTAAATCAAATTGGTATAAATATTTCGTTGCGAAACGTATAAGGCTTAATTAGGAATATTTGTGGAGTTTTGGGAGTTTATGCATGATGGGTTCAATTTTGGAACATAGCAGGAATATTACCATAAACCAAATACATATACATATATTTAAAATACTCACGTGTGTTTGTCGTGCACGTTTTTGCGTTGGTGTCACCGCAAGCGTTGGTTTCGGTTTCTTCAGTGGCTTTTTGTTATTGCCGATCGTCGGGTTTACAGTGGCGCCAATGCCTTCCGGTGGCACACGTTTTTTTTGGGGTGGCACCGCTTCTATGATTTCTACAGCTTGTTCATCCGTATCGCCGTCGACGTGCAGTGGTGCCTTTTTCTTGCGTGCGATGCGATTTTTCTGTTCCTTGTTGTCAATGGTAGCGGTGTTGGTTGAAGTTGGTAATGATTTCTTGGAAGTTGCCTGCGGTTCTTGCTCTGTCGTTGTTACAGTTGGTTTAATGCTGCCTTCACCACTGTTGCTTTCGCCTCCATCATCTCCTACTTGCGGCAAATTTATTGGCGCTGAATCCTCGCCACGCAGAGCACTCTCAATTTGATCAATTGCTTCATTAAATTTGGCGCGTTTCATATTTTTATCTGTGGCGAACTTCTCTTTGTTGTCCGCATAGCTAAAGAGATCCTCCAGTTTTATATTGGCGGTCTCGCCGGTCCCGTAGAAGTAAACATTGTACTTTTTATTGATGAATTTTGTGATTTTCGCTGGCCATGCCGGGTATCCTTTTACCTTGGCAAATACCAAATCACCAATACTGAACGCTTTACCTGCTTTTTCTTTGCCCATAATTACGTGTGAAATTCAATTTTAGTAAAATATTAATTTGTTTGCTGACAGTTGGCGTCTGCCTCTGCTTTCCATTCACAAGATTCTCGCGCTGCAATGCAATATATTTATGACATTCACAGCGCGATATTCGACTTTTAAATTATCGATTGTACCGTTACTGCATGGCACCGTCGCAATTATGCAAACTCTGTTTTTCAACTCTGGAAGTTATTTTAAACTAGCTAAGTAGGTACATGGGTATATTTTTATGTGCCGTAGTTATATTCCCTTCACAAAATGCACAGGCTGTATAGCCTGCTGTGTCCGTACTATTTGATTGTTTATTTAAAAATATATATATTGCATTTGGACATCCTTGGCCACCCTTTACTACCACTGACCCTTCTTTAAGGGTGTTACAAACTTACCAAAAATAATACATACACATAGTATGTACATATGTATGTAAGTACATACCCTTGGACTGTTTGGTGAAGGGTATAACCATATTATTAATTATAGGACAAAGTGTAAATAAACACATTATTTATTGACATTTTAATCTCGTTCGTTAATAGATTAGAGTTTCGAAATAGCAAGTAAAACGCACAAATAGTTTTAATTTAGATTAGTAGCTGCGACCAAACAACGTGTAGAATTTGGGCTTGTTGTTGCAACTTGGATTTATGCATTTATCGCTGGCAGTAATGCCCGTCGGCTGTTCAAAGGGTATGCACAGCGACTTTGCGCCCATGGCTGGTGCTCCAGGCTCAGCCTCATCTCCGCGTGCACTGTCCGCTTTGATCTTATCCTCGCATGGTGTTTCGCCGCAGAACGGCGACAATAAAATATTCTTCTCATCGAGATAGTTACAAAATTCATTCCAATTTTTGACGATTTTCGTGTGGGAAGTAAGATCTTGCTGTGCTTTGCCTAACATTGTCGCATGAATGGTTTCCAGCAGTTCTGGTATTTTCTTTTCTACATCATTCAGTGCTATCGTTAGCTTTTCGCCCGTATCGCGGCGCACGGCCACAGCCTGCTGCGCCTTAAGGTCCTTTGGTCCTACTTCGATACGTATGGGTACACCTTTTAGCTCCCAATGGTTGAACTTCCATCCTGGAGAATAATTGTCACGATAATCGCCTTCGCAGCGCACTCCAATACCGACGAGTTTCTTTTCCAAATCTCTGCAAGCGCCAATCAGCTTAGCACGTTCTTCATCATTGGTATTAACAGTAATGCCGCAAGGCACCACAATAGCCTGCGTACAGGCCACACGCGGCGGCAGCACCAGCCCCTGGTTGTCCGCATGTACCATGATCATGACTCCGATTGTTCGAGTAGTGATACCCCAAGAGTTCTGGAACACGTACTGTTTCTGTTGCGTCTCAGGGTCCTCGAACACAATATCAAACATCTTTGAGAAGTTCTGGCCCAAGTGATGGCTGGTAGCGCCCTGAATGGCACGGCCCGACGCCGAAATAAAAGCTTCTACGGTTGTGGTATAATCGCCACCTGCAAATTTCTCCTTTTCGGTTTTGCGACCCTTGACCACGGGTATGGCAAGCAAATCGGTGTACACCTGCGCGTACAGGTCTAATATGTCCAAAACCTCTTTCTCAGCCTCGATTTTGCTAGCGAACGCTGTATGACCCTCCTGCCAGAGGAATTCGCGTGTGCGAAGGAAAGGCTGTGGGTGCTTAAATTCCCAACGCTGCGATGTAAATCGTTAGCGAGTTAGTGTATAAGTAAAATGATTTGTGATTTATAATGCTTACCACAACATTATTCCATTGGTTTAGCCTAATAGGCAAATCTCTATAGGATTGTATCCATTTTGCATAAGCGGGGTACATAACCGTTTCGGAAGTCGGCCGCACAGCAATTGGTTCGGCCAAATCACTTTCTCCCGACTTAGTGACCCACGCTACTTCCGGCGCAAAGTCAGCAATGTGTGTTTTCTCCTTCTCGAGTGCTGCTTTTGATACAAAAATAGGGAAATAGCACTCCCTAACACCCATGCGCGTAATTTCAGCATCAAACCAGTTCTTGATAAATTTCCATATGGCAAAGGACCAGTGGCGTAAAATGTAACAGCCAGATACGTCATAGTACTCAATTAGTTCACCTTTGGTGATCACCTGAGAGTACCAGTCGGGTAGGTTGTCCTCTTTAGTTGCCTCCAAACCCAATCGCGTTTGCTTTTTGACGCCGCTGGTAGGTTCCGGTTTAGTTGTCGGTGTCGGCTCCTTCTTGACTGACTTTGCAGCGGGCTTTTGTTGTTCTTTGGGTGCCTTCTTTGCACTCGACCCACCACCGCGCACAGCGACGGGAAAATCTTCGCCAGCCACATCTTTGTACTTCGCTTTCAGCGCCAGAAGCTTACGGACTTCCTCATCAATGATATCCTTTGCCGCATTTCCACCTTTTACGGCACGTACCTTTTCTCCCTGGGCATTGATCTCCAGCGTCAGTTGATCCTTGGTAGGCGAAGACATTGCTTCGGGGCTAGCTGATTTTTTAACAACTACTGCGTCCGATTGCAGCTCAACCTTAGCGTCCGGAGTCCAGTCTTTGCCAGCTATGTGTTTGTATTCGGTTTTTAATGCTAGCAGCGTCTTAACTTCTGGCTCAATTACGTTCTTGGCTGCCTTTTCCGATTTAAGTTTCCTTATTTTATCACCCTGCACTTGAATCTTAGACAGCAAACTGCCAATATCGTTGTTGGTCTCAACTGTCGTTAAGTCAACGGTCGCTACTTGGGCAGTGGGAGCTGCTGCAACTGTACCTGGCTTCCACTCTTGACCTGTTAGGCTTTTGTAGTCCGTTTTTAGCGCAAGCAGTAGTTTGACCTCAGCGTCCACGAGCGACTTCTCGGACTTTGCCGTTTTTAATTGTCGTACCTTGTCACCCTGCTTTGTAATCTTGTCCAACAAGGTGGCTACTGTGCTGGCGGCAGCAGGGTCCGGTGACTTCTCTTGCTTGGGAGTAACACTTGGTGCTGTAGTGCCCGGTTTCCAATCGCTTCCTGTAAGTTGTTTGAACTCTGCTTTAAGACTTAATAAAGTCTTGACTGCCGCGTCGATTATGGTCTTGTCGGCTTTAGCGCTCTTCAGCTCCCGTACCTTATCGCCCTGGGCACTGATCTGAGCCAAAACGCTAGCAACGGAGGCGTTGGCGGCTTCTGACTTAGTCACAGGGGCAGATTGAGCTACGGTAGTACCTGGCTTCCAATCTTGTCCAGATAGCGTCTTGTACTGTGTCTTTAATTCAAGCAGCACTTTGACTGCAGAATCAATTTCACCCTTGGCCGCCTTCTTGCTCTTGAGATCTCGCACCAAATCACCTTGTTTTACAATGTTGGCATTAACTGTAGCAGGGTCGTTTGTTGAACTCGTGACTGCTGGTGCGATAAGTTCTTGGCCTGGCTTCCAATCCTTGCCACTGGCTGCTTTGTAGTCCGCCTTAAGGCTTAGCAATTTCTTGACCTGAACATCGATTTCTCCTTTTGTTGCCTTCTTTGCCTTTAGGTCCCGCACTACATCACCCTGCTGAACGATCTGCTTGTCCAAATCCGTAGCGTTATTTGACGTTTTATTGGCCTGAAAAAACGTTCAAATTGTTATTCAAGTGTAATGGCACTTCCTAAGTTACTAAATAATACATTTGAATACGTCAGCACATGAAGTGAATTAATTAAATTGTAACGTTTTACGTGGAACCAACTCAAGAGCCAAACTGTGCGTAACAGAAGTCTGCAGACAACTGGTTTCTTTAAAGAGAAGTATGCCACGCACACGTGGAGAGTAAGATCTGAGAGTTTTTCTGGGGAGCACTATTTAAACACTATCAGCTGTTCGCACGTACACAGCTTATATGTACGGCTATGTATATACATATGTACATATATGTATATATATTTAAAGAGGGGGCTCGAAACGATGAGCACATATATACATATGTGCATACACATTTGCAAGCGAAATCCGAAAAACATATTGTAACCTTCATATAGCAATAGTTTTTTATGTATGTATATTCAAAAATCTGTATAAAACAAATGTGTATACATGTACTCAATACACATGTCGGCAGACTGTCAATACACACGTTTTGTCTAACTACTACCTCTTCAAGAACAAATTGTTGAATGTTTTAATAGTTACGATAACGTATTTTTCTATGTACACAAATGGAAGCAATTAATATCTCAGCAAGACCGGTATACTCACAGTTTTGTTGGCATCCTGTGCGCTGGCTGCATTAATTTTCAAGCCAGATGATGGCATATCTTTGGTGTGACCATCAGGTATTGAGAAGAGAATGATAGGTGAGGCGACATTTGAATAGGGACTGGCTGGGGCATAGGCATTGTCCACCTTGAAGAAACCACGACGCTGCAATTGAATGATGTCTCCTTGCTTGCACTTCTTTAGTTCAGGATCACCCAGCATTTGCACCTCATCGCGCGTCTTATGTCCAATATACTGCTTAAAGTCCTCATCCTTGCCCAAAACCGGTTTGCTTATGATATTGTCAAAATAAACGCAAAATGTGGGCGGGTAAGCAGAGGCGTCTTCTTCAACAGCTAACCACGTCAATTTTAGCGTCTTTTTAAAATCCTTGTTATCCAAATTCAGTGCGGCATCAACGAAGGTAATCTTGCCACTAGCATCTTTGTGTACGCGCTTAATAAGTAAGTTGCCCCAATTGATAAAGGTCGCATTATCGCCTTCCTTCAATGCTTCGGCATCGGCGTAGTCGATGTAAATTCGTGGACCAAGTGTAACTGTTTTCTTCCCCAGTGTCTCGTCTTTGGGGTGTACAGGCACCTCAATTTTCTCCAACTTGGCGCCAGCCACATTAACTATAATTCGGTTTTCGTGTTCTAATGCTGTGTAACGAGGTGCTTTAGGATCTATAACCTTTTTGTTAAATGCCCAAATTTTATCCCAGTTCATAAACACAACCGATTTACTGGAGCCCTGTGCAATAATGAATTCCCGAAGTCCTTCAACTGTCATGCCACGACGTATGATACCGCGCACTGTTGGGAAGCGTGGATCATCCCAGCCATCCACAAGACCCGAATCGACGAACCAAGTTAGCTTACGCTTTGACAGTACCGTATTGGTCATGTTGAGGCGACTGTATTCCCAAATGTAAGGCTTACGTAGTTTGAGTGCATCAATAAACCAGTAGAACTGATCGTCTCGATCATGGTACTCCATTGTACGCAGAGTGTGTGTTACGTTTTCAATGGCGTCGACAATTGGACAAGCAAAGTCGTAAGTGGGATACACTCTGATAAGGACATAGACAAATTATTGTTAGTCTGCAGAAATTACGGATTGTGTTACTCACTTGTATTTAGTGCCAGTACGCGGGTGAGGCTCATTTTTGCACCGGTATATCGTTGGATCACGCATACAGCCATTGGGCGATGTCATATCGATCTTAGCTCGCACACAGCACTTCTGGCCATAGTCGGAGCCTTCGAGCATTTGCTGCCACATTGACAAATTCTTTTCGACGGCTGTGATGTACAAAATAAAGCATGCATTTCGTTATATTGAATAGCTAATAATAAAAAATTATTATCTTTAAAAAAAAAAACATAAATTTTAACTTACTATTCGTGCGGTTGGGCGATTCGACGCGTTGTTCGCGCTCCAGTTTCATTTGCTCGGGTGGCGTATCGTCCACATAGGCTTTGCTCTCTTTCAGCAGCTGCACGCAGTAGTCCAGCATGAGGTCAAAATAATTGGAAGTGTGAGTGAAGAGATCTGGTTTGATTTTCAACAACTCCAGGTCTCCAAGTATAACATTTTCAAATTCGACAGTCTCCTTTGCGGGATTGGTGTCATCAAAGCGCATGATCAATGTGCCTTGGAACGCCTGGGCGTAGTACTGATTCAAAAGCGCCGCCTTTGCATGACCAATGTGCAGATAACCAGATGCTTCTGGGGGAAAACGTACAACAACTTTACCCATTTCAGCTCCGGGCAAATCGACAAATTTGCCCTCCTGTTTTCGTTCACCAGTTTTAGGTGTCGATTCCCTGGTAGCAACGTTGTTGCCTCTCACGCGTTTTGCAGAGGCACGAACCTCTTCAGGTAATGATTGCAAAACCTTTTGAATCAACGGCTGTGATGATATCAAATTATACCAGCGTTGAACATGTTGAGGAATTCCCTTGGCCGATAGAAACTCATAGCGCGAGTGCATCTCATTGAAGAGCGCAAAGTCGGCAATGGTGAGCTTGTTGGCCACAAGATATGTGACCGGCGCAATAGACTTATCCAAAAAGGACAAGGCCCAGGATATGTCATCCTCGCAGGTAAGTGAAAACGAGAGCCAATGATCAATTTGTGTGCGCTCAATGGCAGTCTCGCCATACAGCTTATAAAAGGGTGCAGCACGGGCCAGTGCACGCAACACGTCGTTGTTAGAGTGACAGACCAGCACGCGATTATCGGGAAACTGTAACGAGGTTTCTTCCTTGCTCCAGATTATCTCCACGGGCACAGTTGCGTTAATAAGGTGTGCCGTTGCCAAGCCACCTATTAATTAAATGTAATTGGTATTTATTGATACGAAACTGATGCAATATCAACTCATTGCCATGTATGTACATGTGTTTAAGATAATATGTACATATGCGGATACATCGAGCGACCGTTGCAAAACTTAACCTAACATTTACCAGGCACCTCCAAGAATACTTTTTGAAACATTACTCACTTATTGGCGGATTATTTATGTTTGCTTTCAGCTTGATCGACATTATCGCTACACTCTTGTCTGCAAACAAAACTCGAATGATGAAATGTACCAATTGATAAGCGCACCGTATGCGGTAGCTTTATATAGTTTTGCCACAACGTCGATTTATTTATGCAAAACGAACCCACAGTGTCGAAATCGACTATTACAATAGGCTGCTAACAGCTGTTCGTTTGATCATGTTGGCGTGCCATTGTGAATGGCAACACCCGTCAAATTAGCGTGTGGCGTGAAAAAATAAAAAATTCGATTGTTTGCTTAATTTGTGCATTCAAAAGCCTAAGAAAGAAACTTGCAACGCGCTCAAAATGGTGGGTATTATAAATTCGAAGCCAACACTGATACTTCAACTACTTAAAAGCACTTTTATATTCGGGTGCTGCGTTTGCTTTATGTCGGAGCTTGAGTCACCAAAAAAGTGCATAGATACATATGTACATACATACATACATATGTACATACAGATTACTTGCATATCTACATACATATGTAACTCCCAAACATACATATGCAATTAAATGTATATGTTCAACTCTTTCCAGATGCTTTTTATGCTGCTTTTTAGCCGGCAGGGCAAGCTGCGCCTACAGAAATGGTACATGGCCTATCCTGATAAAGTAAAAAAGAAAATCACACGAGAATTGGTCACAACAATACTGGCCCGGAAGCCAAAAATGTGCTCGTTTCTGGAGTGGAAAGATTGTAAAATCGTCTACAAGCGGTTAGAGTGAAACAATTCTTTAGTTCTGGTTTATTTTTACAATTTCGAGTCTTGCAGTTATGCCAGCTTATATTTTTGTTGCGCCATCGAGCAGAACGACAATGAACTGCTTACGCTGGAGATCATTCATCGCTACGTCGAACTGCTTGATAAGTATTTTGGCAGCGTGAGTTACTCCATCAAGTAATTGTTGAGTGTGTTATCTTTATTGGTTTTATGTTCCAGGTATGTGAGTTGGATATAATTTTCAACTTCGAGAAAGCATATTTTATACTGGACGAGCTACTTATTGGTGGCGAAATCCAAGAGACTTCAAAGAAAAATGTGCTTAAGGCAATTGCCTCACAGGATCTGCTTCAAGAGGTCAGTACACCCGAGACATACGATCTGTAATGCATAACGTTGTATATCTTTCTATATACGCATATGCTGGATATAGTTAATTGTTATACATACATATCTCTATTTTATTTCGTTGGTTTTTAAAGTTTCGTTAGTGTTTGTTTCATTTAACTATTAATGCCATTTCCCGTCAAACAAAACAATGCAAAGAGCCACAATCACTTTCATTCTCGTATCACGGCTTACGTTTGAAATTCTGTACTTAATTTTTTCTTTCTTTACTTTCTCTAATATGTGCAAACGACTCTACCTACCACCGAAACTAATCAACCTATGTCCCCCTAACCATGCATATTAAATATTTTTCACACACCTACACCTACAAATAATATTAATCCAAAAACAAAAAAAAAAAAACGTACAGCAAGAGGAGTTTTTCTACTCGCTGCAATAGCTTTTAAATTTATTTCTCGTGATTGTACAAGCAAATTGTGTCTCGATGCCAAAAGCAATTTTATAAAATATATAATGAATATGTTATTAACTTTAAGCATAAATATGTATTTATAACCAACACACACACACACACCCAGCCACACACAGTTATCTTAATTTGCTGTGTTTACTTGTCATTGCATGCCACACATGCGCGATTCAATTTAAGTATCAGATCTTGCCGACAAGAAAACGAATGAACGAAACTATATGCAACTAATTGTGAGAATTTAATGAACATATTTTTATTACAGTATTGAACTTGCCATAAACTTATGTAAATCCTATAATGAAACAAAACCCAACGTAGTTCCGTCCTTAAAATCTGACATATTGCCATTAAAATGTAGTAACTAGTAGCTATAATTGTTGAATATTGTGTGTAGTAATTGTGTATGAGTCAATTAGAGGTATTATTTAGTTTTGCATGATCTTTGTAGTAGTTTGGTTTTCGTTGTATTTGCTGTTTAACTATTTCATACTAATAAAATCATAAAACATATTAATATCGATAAATATATATATATATATATGTATACATAAAAGAGCTAAATGTGTAACCATAATACCCTCTCTCTTATTATTATTAACGCTTACCCTACCCGCAACTGCATAAATTGATGTTAACACAACCACCAACAGGACTTCAATGAGTATCTGAACTAATCAAAAAATAAATTTAATATGAACACCACAGCTCCATTCTGTACGGTTATATACTATACATTTTCCAACATATAGACACAACTTATAAAATAAACAAGAAGGAACATAACAAGTTAGAGAGCTGCAGTATATTGCCGGCTTTTATAGAAGAGAAAGGCATATGTGCGTTGAAAGCATATGAATAATGTACTTATAAATCCATGATTTTTTTATATCCTGGAGCCAATTTTTTCTGGGAGCATAAAAAATAATCAATTAAAACATCAACATTCAGTGAAGTTTCGTTGCTATGCAGCTGTAAATATTGCAAGGCTTTACCCCATACGGTCCACAGAAATAAACGCTAGTTTTTATTGCGCTAACCGCTGCGTCTCGCCCGCCTCGAACAACCTGCTCGTTTGCCCGCGCTCTGTTCTCTGTTTCCTATGTTTTGAGCTACGACTAATTTGAAAACAAAACAACAACATTAAAACCACAAACACACCACATACTGTGCCGTTTTCTCTACTTTCGTTTCCTAACCAACACTTTTGTCCACTCACTCATACACGACTATTCTATCTCTTGATCTTATTGTTCTTATTCTCTGTACTCCAGGATGAAGCTGTTGAGGGCACTTTAAGAGACATTGGACTACTCTAAAAGAATGCAATAGAGATTAGTTGATCTTACACACACGCACCTAAACGCACACAAGTCCACACGTATACACGTACACACTCGTATAAATGTACTTAAGTATAAAGTAGCAGCAGTCTGAATCGTGTGCAGGCCTAAAATTATTTGCATTAACGTAGTGAAATGTATTTTTGTGGTCACGCACTTAACATCAAAAACACACCCCACACAATACGTAAATGTGTATAGACTCTAGAGCGCTGTATTGCATTGCCAAAATACTAGTATACACAAACTCTTTATTTGATTTACACAAGAACCACATAAGTGCAATTACATTTACATACCGAGGCTAAACTTTCACATTAATCTAATAACTGGCATTTCATAATCGGCCGGCCACCAGGCACTGCGACGTCTTTGTACAATAAATCAATATACCATCTTTAGTTAAAGTATTTTGGAAAAAGTTCATGCAAGACGCTAATACCTGATAACTAAAACAAAATACAAAATGCATATAGATCCATCAAACAAATTTGTTCCGTTACTAATTAATTACTTCATTCCAAAAATGTTTTGTGAAAAGCAATAGAGTACTAAGTATCTCAACTTGGGCAATAATTATGTTATTTAATTTAGGGGAAAATGCAATATCACACATGGTAGAAAGTAAGCTTTAATCTGAGAACAAATAGAGGAAAAATGAAATCAAAAATGTAAAACTTTTTAGCAGTAGTTTATAAATAACTATTCTACTTAATATATAAATATATATCTTTGTATATGTGTGTTGTATATTTTAGCGAATTTCTGTGTCTTGTAATCAATAAAAACAACAAATATTTTTTGGGAAATAAACAAAAAACAAACTACATATTTATATTTATATACATATACTATACTGATGAGATATGCGGTGGTCGTCTAATTGTTGTATTTTACCTATTTTACTGGCAATGTAAAATCTTTACAACTTTGTGGTGTTGTTGCTGTTATTGTACCTGTTACTTTTCTTAAGTGCTTTCCCGACTCCACTATCCACTCTTTTCGCTACAGAAAACGCTTACGTTTGTCGGACGCTGTTTCCCCACGTTATCCGCCAAATTGAGAAATATGTACCTTTTGTATAATATTGACACTTGCCTATTTTTGTACAACATTTTATAGCCTATTTATAAGGGTCGGCTAATGCTGCCTGAAAGCTTGCACTGCTTCTTCTTGGTTTACCTTATCATTTGAAACCTGCTCTTATGTGCTCTCTCTCATATTCCAGGACGAAACACCGCAAAGTTTCTTTGACGATCATGGTCTTGGCTAAGCTGCTCCCACATACATACATGAATAAAATCGAAGGGGTTTGCTGATTAAAGTCGCGCTTAATGTTGTCCATCTACTTGTATACAAAATTAATCGAAAAGCTATTCAAATCAATTAATAATTACCAGAAATTCCGCGCTGTGTAGGCCAACGGAGGAATTCAAATTTGTATCTAACACTTCATTCCATTTTCACATTCCCATATAACAAATGCTCACCTACTCGTATGTATGTACCATTCTCGTATATGTACATACACATGTAAGTATATAAACATGTATATGTATGTATGTACGGAATCTATGTATTATCCAGTGCTGGAACTATCAACTGCAATGTGGTGCCGTCTACGAGCCACTCAATGCTGGCATATCTAGCAAAACAAAAAAAGTTTTTAAAGTCAAAAATCAACTTTTGTGAATGTGAAAATTGTCTTGATAAACTGTTAAACGTCCTATTTATATGTAACTATATGATATATGAATATGATCATGATTAACCCCGAAATATTTATACTTACATTTGCATAAGCGTTGTAAGCATTTGTGCTCAATATTAAATTTTCGTTAGAGATGTATAGAATATGTTTTCAAGGCTTGACTGTTTACAATTTACCAATTGAAGGCAGAATAAACTAAATCGAAATAAAATGTTTTTTCTCTTCAACACAGGGTATATTTCATTTAGTTACACTCTATCTGATAACGACGTTCCTGGCATCAGTTTGACAATATTATATACAAAATCAAATAAACGCTTTATTTAAAATAAATACAAAAGCTCATTTCATTTCACATTGACGTGTGTTGGCAACCCTTTGAACAGGCTCAGTCAAGATTGGCACAGGTTGGCCGGTCAGCGCCTATCCGAAACAAATTGTTGATTTCACTGTCGGAAGAGAGAGCGAGAGTATGAGCGCGATAGTGAGCATGAGCAGGCACCGAGCATCCTGTCGAGAATGTTGTGAGCACGCCGAGCAGAGCTCTCCGCCGCCACTCTGCACTCGTTCGCAGACAATTTTCCCACTGTTGTTGGGATTTTCTGCTGCGGCCGCGCGACAATCTCAACAAGGCGAACGGCGACCGTGTGGCCAGCGCTTTTCGGTCGCGTCAGAGCGCACCATCGTCTTCAGCGAAGCACACACAGTCATTAGGTGTGCTCTTCGTACGTTACGGAGCACACATAAAAGAAAATTTTCACACACCACACACAGCAAGTGGGAAAAAATGTACAAAAAAAGAAGAAAAACTTGTACATAAATTGTGAAAATTTTCCATAAACTGCTAGGCGAACAATCCGAAACCGCTGAAAAAACGCAAATCAAATGAAAATAGGTAATGCCGGGGAAAATTACCAATGAAAAATGGAAGTGCAAAAAATTCTGATCGCCTGTGAAAAGTGCAAATGAAAAGCGACAAAATGAGCAGCCGTAGCAGCAGCAACAAAAAGTGTACAAGAATAATTGTGTGGAGAGTAGTGTGAAAAATCATAACGAATATTTACTGCTTAACAAAAATGTTTTGCAAATAAATTTGTGGAGCCAGCTCCAGCATGGCCAAGTCCAAAGCGAGTCCAGAAATTATATTGTACATAAAATTCATGCCAGTGTGTGTATGTCTGTGTGCGCGCGTCGGTGTGCGTGTGAAAATTACGTTGTCATATGCGCAAGTTTTGGGAAAACTTTTTGCACCAGCTTCAAGGAAAAGTTGAACACTCGAAAATTGAATGCCAATTTTTTACTTAAAGTTAATAATTCTGAAAAGCAAAAAAGTGGCAGTGGAAAAGCACTCACACAGACACACGCACATATACATGCATATTAAGGCTAAACGGGTATGTGTGTGTGTGTGTCCATGGGAAAAAGGAATCAAAGCTGGCAGAAACAGCACAGGAGCAGCCTGCGAAACAGCAGCAAGAAAAAATTCTCTATCTATTGCGATTTTGTGCTCGTGCTCATGCCCCGAAAAGAGCACAGCAGAGCTGAGTAGAGCAGAGCAGAGCACTCGTACTCGGATGGGTGCCACCGCCACAGTCAGCACCACAACCGCAGCCACAGCAGTCGGTGGTGTGGGTGCAAAGTGGTGTCTATATAGTATATATATACATACATAAACACACATTTATAGTATATATATATATATATATATATATTATATATATTTATATGCATGATCTTATGTGTGTGTGAACTGCTCGACGTTCTATACATATTCGAATTGCCGCGGCCGCTCATCTCGAGTACCGTCGACCATCAAACCATCAATAATTTTGTTTGATTTAAAAAACAATAATTTTGTGCGAAAAAAAAACAAAAACATGACCTGGACATGGTCGACAAAAGAGTGTGCGTGTCTGTGTGTGTGTGTGTGCCTCAAAGTTTTCCACATGCCATTTGTTGCAAAATTATATTTCGCTTCTAGAACGGCCTGTGCCTTTTGTGCTGGTCGTGCGTGATTTATCCTTAAACTTGGCCATTTTTGCACAGTTGCCTTGCCATCAGTTCGCAGTGGTGAGTTTTCAGGACTACCATGCGCATGTCCTTGGTCATGGACAGGCCGCCAGAGTGCCAACACATGCTGGCAGGAGAGAAAAAGTGCCTTTCCATATATAGATATGTATATATAGGCATACATAGTATATGCTCTACATGCCGATACTTGCACACTCACAAATCTGCGCGTTTCTGGTTCTTATTGTCTTAAAACTTAAACTTAAGTGCTTTCTTGCATATGACTTTTTTGGCTAAGGCTGAACATATACATATCTCCTTATACTTGCATATTAAATTGTTATTTACTGTTGTGAAAAAGACCCGACAGGTGTAATATCTTGGCAAAGCCTAAAAAGAAAAACGTACTGTAGCCTTCCTACAGTTTTTAACTTCTTATATTAAAACAATTCCATAAGCCCAGACTAAAAGATTTTCATTGAGACTGTTTTAAAAGGCATATACGAGTTGTGTTATGGGAAATACATTTTGTTGTGCCTCGCCAATTTCGAATATGTGAGCTAGTATTCTAAGATCTTTAACACAACAATGAGCACAAAACATCTTCAAAATGAAACTCCAATTTCCCTGCTCTTGCCGTCCCAAGCTTGCTGCTCTCTTTTGACAGGCTGTTGATATCATATTTTAGCCACATCTATTATTATTATTTGGTATCAGTACAATTCTGCTCCTTCTATCGTGGGCTGTGCAACACAAACAAATAACGGGTTATTACGCTCACAGGCCCCTCTTGCCCGAGAGAACAAACTCACCACACAAGACCTTCGCTCCCACACAAACACACACGCACACACACACCCACACGTACACATGGAAACAGACAGAAGAGACACTCGCACTCTCTTTTTCTAAGCACACAACTCCCGCTCGTGTATATTTTATTATCTCGAAACTTTTTTATTGCTGTTGGGGGTGCGGCGCGCACACATCAGCAAAGCAGAGGCCACAGCAGAGGCACAGGCACAATAAAGAAAAACACAGAGGCAGTCGTCAAAGGAAAAATGGAAAATTTGTGTTGTAGTAGTGTAGTGTTAAATATGTTGCTGCTGCTCCAATAAATAAAAAGCTGTTACCGTTTGTGACGCGTTCCAAAACAAACGAATATTAAGATATTTTTTAAGTGTTTTGTGTACATTGTGGTGTATTTTTAGAGCAGCGCCCGAAGGAAAAGTCTCCGTTAATTGTAAATACACAACCAAAAGTAAAACAACAAACACTCCACCAAATTTGAAACACATAGTAAACAAAATAAGTATAAATATACATAATTAATATTATATGGAACCGATAACTATATATAGCTCCCTATTACTATAAAATAATGTAAATGACAACGTAGCCTTCACTCCGAAACCAACAAATAAATAAAACCAAAAAGGAAAAGAATTAAAAACCAAGGCCTAAACACACAATAAGTAGAAGAACAAATCCTATAAACGAATCTTGAAACGTTGAAAGCAGCTCAGAATTCCGGCAATCAAATGTCTGGATAATACAGCAGCAATTTGACCAATGGATGAAAATGCCGCCGTCGCCGTCATTGTTGTCGTCGTCGTCGTTGTCCATTTGTCATCGCTATTGTCAGACTCAGACTCAACAGGAGCAGCAACAAGTAGAGGAGCCAAAGCCGAACGCAGCGCCCAAAAAGCAGCTGCAAGTACAACATCAAGGCCAGGATCACAAAATCGAAGAACAAGAGCGGTCACCAATCCTGTCCAGCATCGATTACCACACGTCATCAGCGCTGCTGGCGCTGCTGCCACTTACCAACACGCTCTCTCTGATCTTGGCGGGGACTGCGGCCTAATTCTCAGCTGCAGTTAGTAATTCAAACCGTAACCACAAAAAAACAAGAACAACAACAACAACAGTGGATCTGGAACGCAACAGAATCGTGCCAACGTCATCGCCAACGCCAACACCACCGCTCAACCACCTAAACGTTCCAACGCAGCGCAGGTGCTGGAGTCGCGTAACTGTAGCAGAAGACACACAAAATGGCGGATGGGCATTCATTTGTGAAGAAGACATTTCATAAGCCAACGTACTGTCATCACTGTTCCGATTTGCTCTGGGGTCTCATTCAACAGGGATATATTTGCGAGGGTGAGTAAAAAATATAGTATTTCCTGATATCTGTCATATTTGAACGATTAATCTCAATTGCCTAACAAATATTGGTATACATATTGTGGTATTTTTTAAAAAATAATAAAATAGCGAATAAAAAACAAACCCCTTCCACAAATTTTCTATATGTGCTGCGATTTCATGCTTAGAAGGTCGAATAGACTCCTCTGTCTACAAATGTCAAAGTTCGTTCATCTGCTCTTAACAATACGAAAGGCAATTTGAAATTATGGATGGAAGGAAAAACAATACTAGCGCCACAGTCTGTACAATGAACACATTGGGCCTCGTAATGATCTACAACTATATGCCTAACAGGCGGGGCACCAAAAACAATAAAAACAGCAACAACAAAAAGAACAAGAACCGCTGTCCAATCATGATGCTATTTGTGGCCGAAAAGTGTGCGTTTGAACTTTTCAAAAATTGTGGCATGACGTGCGCTTCAAAACGACGTCATAGCTGGTTGTATATCTTTTGGACTACACTATTGGATACACTTCTGAATTGGAACGAATACATGCATACATTCCCCCATATGCCTATACATAGTATATATGCATAAGTATTTTATGTATGTATGTAATATATACTATATATTATATTATATGTACCTGTAGAAAATCTGAATCTATTCAAACAATTGAATAGCCTCTCCCAATTGAAAGCAAGTTAAACGCCCGCGTAAGTTTGTTTATTTGTGCAGTCCTCGTTTCGTTTGCTATTATTATAATTATATCGCCTTTTTTAATGTTCAAACGTTAATGTTTATAGTTCGCAATAGCATTGTGCGCATCCCATTGGGAATGCCAATTAGCTGCGATGTGCCAGAAGGCAGACGACCCCATGCCTTCGCGTGGAAACGCATTTGTTTTAGCTTCCACTTTAAATTTACCTGTGTTTACGCGTAAATACAGTCAAGCATCGCCGAAAAGAATATCTCCATATCCATATTCAATGGATCTAAGTTTAAAAGGATTTTAGGGAATCAGCTATAGTTTTAATGCGAGAATACTTAGGATGATTCTTTTCAGCAAGTACAACTTCTTAGAAGTTATTGAATGTAATTTTAATTAAATGAAATAATAAATAATAATAAAGGCCTCTCAATCGTTACTTTTACATCTATAATGTACCGATTTTGTGGGAACGTCCAAATATTATGGAAGATTGTAATTATTTACGAGTTTGTATGCTTCATTTGTTCTAGCTTTATTCTAAAAAAGTTATTCTACTTAGAGAGCTCGGTCGTATGACAGCTATATACAATAAAATATATAGCAATGAGGCTGTGTAGGGATCACCAGTTCTTTGGTGTGCAGAGGGATGCACAGTATTTGGGCATGTCCAGAAACTCTGTCCCTACGGCAGTGCTGTAGAAATGTATTTTAACTTCAATGTTTATGAATTTTCTGTTGGCGCTACAATCGTAGCTGAAATTAAACCTCCTGATGATTCCATCAAGCCTACAAAAATGCACATTGGGTTGGTGAGCTGCACTTGTATTGCGAAAATGGTTGCATACCTACAGGCGCACTTTGTCAAGGCGCCGTTTGCAATCTAATTTAAAGAACTCATGTTGCAAATCGCGACATAAATCACACGCATACGCCACGTTGAACAACAACGTTTTTTTTACTATAATGATAATTATTGTTATCATTTTACTTTGTGAATGAGTATGCTATGAAATCTGAAACGTAGCGCTAATTGAGTTGCAAATTTAATTGCAAAAACACGCAATGACGATACAAACGAAAGACGGCCCAAGCCTCAATAGGTCTCTGCCGCTGCAGCATTCACTCCCCTCTTGCCCGGCCCCAGCTCCGTCAGTTGGGCACTACGCGCTTGAAAGTAGGTCAAATGCGAAATATGCAAGCGCGCAAATACACACACACCAATCCATCCTATATCCTATGCACACACATACGCGTGCATACATACCTAGCTGTGCTTGCTTGCACACAGTCGAAGGCAACGTTTCAATTGGATTTCGGGGGTGGGGAATGTGGGTGGGGGGGGGGGGGGTGGTAGGAGAGCAGCCGCAGGTGAGCGGGCGCAACACAAAAACCAAATTGAATGCAAAAGTGTTGTTGAAACATGACGGCAGCACGCCGCCTGCCTGCCTGGCTGCCATTTGCTCGATGGCAATAATTATGTTGTTGATGCCGATTATTGCGATGATGACGATGGTGGTGATGATGATGATGACGATGATGGTGATGGCAAAGCAACGATAGCGACGAAGGGCTAAAAGTGCGTCATCAATGGCCGCCATGAAACGTTGCTGCGGAACAGACTGTGTGTGCGAGCGGATTCTCGCTCTCTATATATGTATAGAGTGGTGGGGCTGTGGGTCTGGCACAAGAACGCGGGGACGGAGCCGTTTAATTGCCTCGATGTCGTTCATTCATAACGAAATAAAAGTGGCAGCAGCACCACCAACAGGCAACAAAAATAACAACAAAACAATAGAGGTATTGGGGGTCGTCAGATTGGCTGACACGGCAAATACATATGCATGTCCATATACATACTATACATATGTATGTATAAACAAAAATACAAAGTTGTGGACTCTTGCGCTTTTGCGATGAACTGGCCGAGAGGTGGGTGGGGATGGGGACTACAAGCTGGTCAACCATCTAACATTGTTATTAATTCTCATCCATGACATTTGGTTCGTGGATCTTTAACGCAATTGATCCAAAAACAGAAGAAAAAAACAGCGTTGACGGCAACGACGCACGTTATATCCTTGACAGTTGCCTTGTGTGTGCTTACGTACTTATGTATGCACTCTGTGTCTGTGTGAGTGTTTGTGTGTGTGTGTGTGTGTGGTTCGAGTGCTCCGACGTACGAGTGCACAAGTTTTTTAATTGCGCACATTTGCTTTTATGTGTTCGTGATTTATTTTGAGTTTACGAGAATTATATTTATGCTATTTTTAGTCAACAGAAAATAGGTTTGGCTTTTTTTAGATACACTATGCCGTCTGCGCCGAAACATTTAATGCAATCGCTTTATGTTGGAGTTAGGCTTTTCAGATTCATTCTTTGAAAATACTTTTGGAATTCTGAGCTGAAGGGGGAGTATTCCAGAGTAGCGCTTTATTTTACTTATAATTTGGAATTAACTGAATGTTATTAGAAAAAAGAGTTTCAGTTTACAGCCGTGCATCCAGAATTGCGGTTTTTCCTTCATAGATTCTTGCGACCAAAAATGTGAACCAATTCTAAATAATTTGCAGTTGATACACAAATACGCGTATATTATTAACTGAATGCTATTAGAAACAAGAAAGGAATACTAAAGTCGAGCGGGATCAACTCTAAAACACCACCTCACAAATAAAAACAAGATAGAACGCTACAGTCGAGCAAGCCCGACAGTAAAATAGCCTGTACTCTCCACAAAAAAGAAAAATTAAAAAAAAAGAAATTTAAAAAATAAAATTAAATTATTAAAAAAAATGAATGAATTAATTAATTAATTAAATTAAATTAGAATACATGTTTATGTTCAGTTTTAACAGCATACATTTACATCACGTACCTATGCGTGTTTATATGCGTGTATGTATGCAGCACAAAGTTGAACAAAAGCAGCAACAACAACAACAGCTGCGGGCAGCGCTGCCGACAGAGCTGCAGGCAGCGCATGAGCAGCGACTTTTCTTATGGCTATAACTTTCTTCAGAATTGACCTATCATGATGAAATTTGGCACACGGACACATTAGTACTAACTGGATGTACCTACCAAAATTGATTTCAAAATTCCGAGAATTACGGAAGTTATAAGAAAAAACACGAATTGCGGGGGAGTGGGGGGGTGCATCGAAAAAAAATCAAACTCGTACTTTCTCGGTTTTAGGAGAATATGGAAATAAAGTTTGGTTATTCTAGCTCTTATACTTTCTGAGATCCTTGCGTTCATACGGACAGACAGACGGACGGACAAGGCTATATCGACTCGGCTTCTCATCCTGATCAAGAATATATGTACTTTGTGGGGTCTGCCACGCCTCCTTCTGTGTGTTACATACATGCGCACAAAACTAGTATAGCCTTTCACCCTTTGGGTACAGGCTATAAAAAATTTTAAAATGAAAAAAATTAATTAATTTAATTAAATATAAAATATTCAACACATGCCTACACACATAAGTGTTTATGTACAATTTCAACATCATACATTTACATCAGAATCATGTGTATGCGTGCTTGTATGCAGTAAGTCAAAGCAGCAGCAACAACAAAAGTTGCCGGCAGAGCTTCGGCAGAGATTATGTTTATTTATCTGAGTACAAATTTATGGGAAAAACACGAATATATGATGTAAGTTCTTACGATGTTAAATCTGAAAACCTTTTATGCTCATCAATAGGCTTTTGCAGATATCAATACAAAGAGTTCAATCAAGTTAAAATATTATAAGCTAATATTGCATTAAAAAATCAACTTAATGAATACTTTTTTCTATGCTGTTATGCTGCTTTGCCAAAATTCAGAGTGCCAGTTTTTAATTAAATGAAATATTATATTATTCTAGAATTTGCTTGATTTTGTTTGAAATTAGCTGTGTTTGTTTACTTTGATTTTTAAGTGTATATGAAATGAATTAGGTACTTCAATTATTCCTTAAAATTCACTTCTCCCGTTGCATGTGCTATGTTCTGTGACCATTTAAACATATGAATATGAAAAGACTGTTTTTGAATAAATTAAACCATCTAGTTCTATTTGAAATATTTTAAAACGCTTCAATTGTGCTTTAGACAAATCCACTTCTCTTCCATTTTCACTCTTCTTAACAATGGAAATGCTTCTTATTAGTGCTATTCGGAAACAGGCCAGTCCCAGGCTGGCGTAAAAGAAATTAAACATTGAAGTTAAACAGACCTAGGTTTGTACAGAAGCATGTGCAAAGTAAAAATTGGACAATCCATGCCTGCAGACATGGATACTTTCTGTTGTTATTGTACTACGCATGTCAACTTGTACGCTTTCAATAAATATGGTCGTAATACTTGTACATATATGTATGCCTAAATTTATTTGCTCGCTTTGTTGCTTTAATGATATACATATCTTCAAAGACGTTTTCTTTTCCGTCTGATGTGCTGTGTACTTGAATTGGAGAAGTTTTTGGACTAGTTCGCTATATATTTCCCTTGTTATTGTTGTTTTATCGTGCAGATAAAAGAAATCGCACACTCACACAGCCAAGCACTCAAACACAGGCGCTAAGTGAGTGCGTAGCAGAAGAAAGAAACAGAAAAAGTAAAAGTGTGTTGAGTTTTGTGAATTTCCCTACCAGCTGGGTATTTCAAGAATTTCCCCCACGCTGCTCACGCTTGTCTTCTTCTTTTTTTTAGAGTGAAACACACAAACACGAAAGCATACATACAAACACACATAAATGCCAGCACGCACTCTTTGGCATTGTCAAATAAATTTCTGTATACATAATGCAAACGAATTGCAAACATTTCCTTTGTTTGGAATGCAGAAAGGAGTGACTAGCAAGCAATACTTGTATTAAGAATAATTGGCTTGTACGGGGCGTATACGTAGCAATTCTGGGATTACGCATACGCCACGGTGGTAGGCAGCGAATAATCGAGTCTTCAATTACCAGGCACGTGCATCGAAAGATTTGCAAGCCACTTTGCGGCTGCTGCCTGCTATTTTACTAAACAACATATAAAATTACAAGCACAAACAAACCCGATTCTATATTACTATACGTATGTATATGCAGGCCAAATCTTGGGAGAGTCACGTTTAAACAAAAAGCTGAGTGCCTGCCACATGCAGCTAGAATGGAAAACGCTGTGTATTTTTAGAAAGCGTGCATCTTTGGAATAACAGCCACCAAAACTGCAACTGCAAGGAGATGTGGCAGTCAAGCACATGCAATGAATGAGTTCATTTATGACGTCAGAACGCCAGAGAGCTGCAGGTCAGCGGCCTAGATTTTCGACGATGTTGCTATTGCTGTGTTGCATACACACACATACAGTTGCCCATAATACATAGTACATAAGTACCCCTCGCATACAAGTATATAGTGTACACATATATGTACATATATACGACTATAAGTATGTACATATGTATGTAGATAGAACACATGTGAACTTGTGTGTCCACAAGTATGTATAACTTTCACGCAATGCTAAAAATATACTCGGCGATATCTACGATATCTATGTTAAGCTTATACAAATACATACGCACACGTACATGATGCTGCACTCCTTCTGTATGGGTAATCCTGCCGAGGCAGGAGCAGGTCTAGTGTACGCTGGAGGAAGAGGAGAAGAGGCTGTCATAGACGTATGTGTCGTTCCGCACTGGCCCTTTTGTGTGTTGACTGTGCCATCTGTTTTACGGTTAGCCACTTAGCCTGACTTGGCTTTTGTCTTGCCACTGGGCACCTGTACTCATTCAGCGTTGCATACACGCTGTGTGTGTGTGTGTGTGGGCATGATTGTGGGCTAAAAACTTCAATGAAAACGGCGTCCGTGAACTCATTGAAGCAACATTGTCGTCGACTATGAATGACGATGACGTATATTGGCCATCAATGATGTTGGACATCATCAGCATTCAAATTGGCTTTAAGGCACAGTCAAGAGAGATAGTACAAATCATTGAAGGCGCCCACAGCTTCTACTTCTCCGAAATGTAATCGATATAGTTTTTAGAGCTCTCCTTGATATATATTTTAAAAGTATAAGCTAAGAGAGACATTAGTTTATATAACACTAGCGTCCCATTCCTGCTTCACACGGGTATTTTACAAAAATTTCATTTTATAGCACCCAAACATGAGCTACTAAAAAAAGAGTAAAATTATAAGCACAGCTTAGATATTATTATTTTAATGATTGTTTTGGTTCTTTTTACCTTTTTTTTTGTATTCTTTATTGAGTCAGAGTTTCTCTGTTAACCATATTTGATGTTGTTTTATTTTGTGGTAGCAAAATAAATTGATTTTCAGGAGCTCCAACCCGCGATGGGCCAACCTACAGTTGGCCATGAGTGAAGCATTTCTTTCATAGGTCTATCCCTACTAATTTGAAGGTTCGGCCTTGGAACTAGTTAAGAGTACATTACAAAAAATGTTGTAGGAATATTTTTACATCTTGGGTTACAATTTTGGCATTTTATTTTATTTATTTTTTTTGCAATTAGAACATAGCCTATGTTAACAGGAGATAGTGAAGCTTCCCAATGAAAGAATACTTTAAATCGGTCCAGTAGTTTCGGAGCCTATTCAATTCAAATAAACATACAAGCAAACAAACAATCAAATCTTTCCGCTTTTATAATATAGATAGATAGATAAGTATTAGTATTACTATAGATACGTGTATAATATACATATATAGGATACATATAGATAGCTCCAGCTCAATTCAGTTCCAATCATATCCATTGACTTTTGTAATATGAATTGTGTCTGACCTCATTTCAAGCCGATCTCGACTGATCAGTGATCGTCTGATTGTCTGTCCTGATGTTTTTATTGGAATTGCCATTTCCATTGATCTATTTTTGTGAATGGTTTGCCTTAATGATTTCAGACATAACTACATAGGAGATACCAGTATATAAGTATTGAAGAGAGGCAAGACAATCTGTAATTCAGAAGACTCGCAATGGGAAGTCCAATCCAAGTCCACAATATATATATCGCAAATTGGAATACCATCTTTAAAAATTCACCCTATACTTACTATCAGGAATTTAAATCGGCCAATTAGTTAAAACCAAACAGATTCAGGCTACTACCATTATGCGACAAAACCATAGAGGAACATAGTTTTCCTGCATATAAGGGGAACATTTTGGCTTTTGTTTACAGGTTTATGAAATATATATTCTTAAATATTTTATACCTATATATATATTATTTAATTGAAAATTAGTACATATTCGTATTATACAATTTTATCATATTTTATTCCATTCTTTTTTTATAGTTTGCAACTTTATTATACACGAACGATGTGTCACCAGCGTGGTAACGCCTTGCTCTGGAATAGCGCCATGTATAATTAAGGTTCGCACAAGTACACTACAACTAATGCAGTACAACATTATATAATAACACCAATGTATTTAATAGAATCCCGTGGCTCATTGCTGGTCCGAGCCGACTCACCACAAAAGGAAGTTTTGCACAGTTTGCCGTAAGCGCTTAGATGAGACGCCAGCGGTGCATTGCTTAGGTAAGTCAAGAGCAAGTTCAAGGACATAGAAACCACCCAGTAATGTGAATGATAATTTCTTTCAGTTTGCGAATATTTCGCGCATATTGAGTGCCAAGATTTTGCTGTGCCCGACTGCACCGAAAATGCAACCTATGTTCCCGGCAAGGAGCTCCTAAATGTGAAGCATCAAGTACGTAGAGCCCATCCCATACACAAAATTGAATCATGAATCATGTTAAATTCTCGTTGCAGCATCATTGGCGAGAGGGTAATCTTCCATCTACGTCGAAATGTGCTTACTGCAAGAAAACCTGTTGGTCATCGGAATGTCTGACAGGTGAGTGCAACCGGAAATGACTTACTGCGGAAATTGAAGAAAATTGAATAGCGAGAATCGATTTAATCGATTTCCGAAATCTACAAATGGAACAACAATGTATCTTTGATTCAGTCACAAATTGAATAGAACATTGCTTTAAAAACCTTAAAGACCATACAAATGAGAACTCATCCGCAGGTGTAGAACTAAGCGAAACAATCCCATTCATCCATATCGTCTATTTGCAGGCTATCGCTGCGAGTGGTGTGGTATGACCACACACGGTGGATGTCGAACGTACCTGCCAACCGAATGTAATTTTGGTATACTACAACCTATCTACTTACCTCCGCATTCAGTCTCGATACCACGTACTGAGGTGCCAATTGAAGCGATAATTGGCGTACAAGTCAAATCAAAAACGACGCTCGTGCGCGACTACTCGTGTCGTAAGTACCGCTGTTGACTGCTCGACAGTGCGTTGAGCCCCTGATCATTGGAAACACCACCCCTACTCACCCACCCGCCTCACTCAAGCACTCAGCTACCCACTCACACCCGTTCAGCAACGCATCAGCTCGATGTTGTGCACATCTTCAGACTCAATTACATGTTGTCTCTCACATCAGTCAAGCATAAGTCTCATCCTTGCTGAACCCATGCTCAAGACTCTCTCACATACTATATTCGTCTTTCCACATGTTTGCCAAGTTTTGTGTTAGTTTCCAAAATTTATTTTAATCAGCTAGTGGCTACACTTAGCTATCAGGTTTTTTTTTTAAATTTTTTATTTCCTTTATATATGTTTAATTTTGAACGTTTCTTTTTCGGTTTATTGCGTGTGCCGCCCCCGCCTGCCCAGCAGCTGAGCTTAGTGTAAACGATGATAGCGTTGAACAGGGCTCAGGGGTGGCGGTGGGTTTGTGTTTAAAGGAGCTGCTTTCGCTCCATAGGCAACGCATTGAACAATCGAAACAACATTTTCTACTTTCAATGCCGCCCTCACCTTCGCCCTCCTTTGGCTCGGTTTCACTCTGCGCCTCACCCACTCCCTCGCTAACAGTGGGAACCGGCGAGACGAGCCATTCAGCGGACGAAAATGCGGCCAACGACGACGACATCCACAATCAGGAGGAAGAGGATGATTACGATAATGAAGCGCAACGCATCGCCAATGCCACCGAAGAAAATACGGAGCATGATAGTGCGCTGCAGCTGACCACATCAATCAGTCAAAATCCTACCTGCGCTCAGGCAGCAGGTTCGCTGCAAAAATCACCATCCGCCAATTCCTCTCTGCATCTGCTTTATACCAGCCTCTTTCGAAAGTTGGGCAATGGACGCCGACGAAAACGTTGCGCTGGCGGCGTCTCGCACAGTGAGGACGACGACGTGGATGGGGGTGTCTGTGATATAAGCGGTGGCGATTTGAGCGACGAGTACGACCACTGTGATGTGGCGCTAAGGAAGCGCAAGCGACCGCCACGCGATGTTAGCGAAACTGATTACCATGGTGATGCAGAAGTGGAGCAGGAGACTGCGCCACGCGAGAGTTGCTACGAAACATCCGACACGGGTGGCGAACTAACGAATACCGACGACCTCGACTCGAGCATGAATCTGATTAGTAATCTAAGCTATAATAGTAGTAATAGTAATACGTCCAATGAGCAGCGCAAGCAGCCACGCCCCACTGCCGCAGGAGCAGCCGCAGCTACCACAGCTGGGCAAGCTCATGCCTTAAGCGTGCACACTGGACGCAATCCAAAGACTGGTGCTAAATCGGTGCTCGGCTCTGCGAGCTCGGCCAACTCAAGCGACTGCTCGTCCGCCTCTCCTGCGCCCCTTTCCGCATTGACGGCACTTCAATTGTCGCCGGTGGGTCGCAGCCAGTCCTTCCAGGAGCCGGGTGTCAAGAAGCCTTCAACAACGGCGCGCTACAAGAAGTACGGGCGTGCCTTGTTTCAGCGACGTCGCTCGAAGCGTTCTCCCAAGGGAGGAGGTACCAAGAGCAACTACAGCCTGGACAGGCTGTCACAAAACATCGAAATAACCATACAAGATGAGGATGGCAACTATCAGCCTTACGACGACAATTATCACACGCTGAGACGACGGTGCGTTGACGACGAGGACGATGCTGAGTATGAGTACGAGGACGATAACTTGTACTTGGATGATCGGCCGCGCAACGATGGCCTCAGCGGTGACGATGTGGGTGGAGATATAAGCGATGGCGGAGCTAGCAGCCGTTCACGTGCCAGCGACAGCGAGCACGTTTTCGGAAAATTGATTCGACGCATGCGCGGCTTATCCGTAGGCTGGCGCAAGCCGCGCTATCAAAAGCGCAGAGGTGATTAAGCGAACCGCTCTTTTGTATTTTGTTTTCTCTCTCTCTCTCTCTAACAGCAACTGCAACGACTGACGTCGCTCTTTCTGTTTCTGTTTCTGTACTGAATTGGCTAAAGTTTGGTTTTTGAGTTCTTGGATTTGTTTCTAGTTTTGAGCTAACAATTTGAAACCAGCTTTTGTTTTCGTTGATTCTGTTTGAAACACTAACTCCACTAATCAAATTTCATACGATCGCACCATCTCGCATCATCTTGTTAAGTCGACAGTCTAACACCCATAACACAAGCCACGAATTGCATGCTCATCTGTACAAAGAATACTAATATTCTTGCAGCAGATCAGACACCGAGCAGAGCCTTCGGTCGCTGGTCACCAGCTGTGTCTGCTGCGAGTCACAAACTCTTTTGTGTGCCAAGAATGATGTTGCCTACTAAGCCCTACGTATTCAAACAAACAATGTCCCTAACTTAAGCTTTCTTTCTCCATCGCCAAATATATTTAGCACGCAGCATATCCGAGGAATTCAGCAGTGGTGATACGCCACGCTTTAAGGATGAGGAGTCGGCCAGCAAAACTGATGTAACGCATGGTGCGGGTGCCGCAGGTAGCAGCAGCGGTGGTGCAGGTGGTAGCGGTGGCGGAGGCGGGGGCGGTGGATCTAGCTCGACGCACTACCGTCCGGATTCGGGAAGCCACAAATCGGACAAGTCGGACAAGGACAGAGAAAAGAAGGATAGGGAACGCGAGGAGAAAGATATAGGTAAATAATTCGCATTCAGGAATATCACACAATACCCATATATTTCCATCTCTCCCACTCTCTTTATCGTGCACAGAAGTGATCAAAGTCTTCGATGGCAACAACTCATTCCGGCGACAACAATACCGTGTGATCGCTGTGCAACGTACCTACACGCTTGAACAATTACTGACGACAGCCCTACGCGCCTTTCATATAACCCGAGATCCAAGTGTAAGTCATTAAAAAATAGAAGTCCGTGCCTTTTATCACAAGTTTTGTTGCTCACAGGCATTTTACTTGACCGATATGTATGCTTCCGCTGGCATGGAGGATGCACCGCTTCAGGATCCGACACCCATACTAAACCTGACACACTTGGAGGGGAAGCGACCAGCTATATATCTCAGGTTTCTCGACAAAGACAAGGGCTTTGTGCGCGTATATCCTGGCAAATTGCAATGCTCATTGGAAGATCCGTATGTCAGTGTTCCTGTAGATAATACAACCGTTATAAAGGATTTGATACGCGATGCGTTAGACAAATTTGGATTACAAGATAACCAAATACAAGACTACAGGTAATGTTGTTTAAAAATACCCGTTGAACAGAACATAGAATAACATACTTGTACTCCCTAGATGCTCCGAGGTTCTCCTTGATCGCGGCGTTACTGAACGTATACTCTCATGGAATGAACGCCCGTGGGATATTATGAAACAATTGGGCAAGGATTCCATACGTCAGATGGAATTGATGCGATTCTATATGCAGCACAAACAGGATCCTCATGGACCAAACATTGCTCTATTTGTGGGAAATCTCCCCACGGGAATTTCACAGCGCAATTACGAGCAGATTCTCAACAAGTATGTGACGGATGAAAACAAATTCACCAGCATTGGACCTATATATTACGAGTACGGCTCTGTGGTGTTAACTTTCGAGGATGCCCAAAAGGCGGTAAGCACTTAAGAGTTTACTTTAATCGTCGTCCAATCCTACTTACATTCTTACCCATGTAGGTGCGCGCCTTTTACAATTTACGCGAGACGATTATTGAGGATAAAAAACTGCTAGTACTGCTGTTGCCAAATATTGAACCAAGCATGGTCCCACCGGATGTACGACCGCTACTTGTTTTTGTGAACGTCAAGTCCGGCGGTTGTCAAGGCCTAGAATTAATATCGAGCTTTAGAAAACTACTGAATCCGTATCAAGTCTTTGACTTGGACAATGGCGGTCCGCTTCCAGGGTAAGTACCAATCGGTAGCAAATGGGCGGCTTACCTTAAAAGTATATATTCCTTCTATCTGTCCTCTTCAGCCTGTACGTGTTTCGTCAGATCACAAACTATAAGATTTTGGTTTGTGGCGGCGACGGCACCATCGGCTGGGTGCTACAGTGTCTCGACAATGTCGGCCAGGATTCAGAATGTTCCAGCCCACCTTGTGCCATAGTGCCACTTGGCACCGGTAAGTGTCAGAAAGTCCCTATCCCTCCGTCCTTCCTCTTATTCTAAGCAAAAATCTTGCCAGGCAACGACTTGGCTCGCGTTTTGTGTTGGGGCTCCGGCTACACCGGCGGAGAAGATCCATTGAATTTGCTACGCGATGTGATCGAAGCAGAGGAGATACGTTTGGATCGCTGGACTGTAGTTTTCCATCCGGAAGATAAACCCGAAGAGCCTGCCATGAAGGCACCCTCACAAACAACCGGTAAGAAGAAGAAGGCTCACCAAGCACATCTATCGCAACAAACAAATCAGCATCATCAATTACCGGCTCTGACATCGAGTGATATATCAGGTCATTTGATGTTTCAAAATTATTTGTTCTTTTTGCGTTACAATACCTTATTTGCCTTAGCCTGACCTTCAAAACCCCATAAAATATAAAAGTAAAGCGTACAAATTTATTCTCGTTGTATTATATTGCTATTCTTCCTACACATATATTTACGAGTATATCCCCACCACCAAATACCCCTTAGATGCTATTTTTATGTTGACAATGTTTGCTTTTAACGCCTGATATTTGTTTATGCGCATTGACAAAGCTTCTAACCCTTGGATGACTGCAAAAATATTATTTCACTGTGCAAACATTGAAGCCCTTCCCCAATACTATACACGTATATCTTAATACTTAGTTTTGTGTAAATTAACGCTTGAAGTGCGAGTCTAGAAAATCAAGTAAAAGTTTGCAACCTATGGCAAAACTTTTGTGCAAACATTGGTGGTATCTGATGATAAGTGCTGTTAGTTTCGATGTGTATATGATGTTTATAAAAGTAGATGAGAACCGCATGTCTAGTAAACATTTCAATTCAACTGATCCGACTGATCCTGAAAACTAAACTCATGCTTGAGCCTAAGTTCTGGGCACGCAGGTAAGAAACATACGTATACTCGAACACATGTAAAATAAAGTCAAGGCGCCAAAAACTGCAGTTGGGTAAAACTAGTAATGCAATGGACCTATATACAAGTATATACATACATATATCTTGATGTTGTAAATATATATGTTCGATGTCATTTGTCGATACGTGTGCTGTGGCTGTCATCCATTTCCGTTGCATAATAAAACTAATGCCCAGCTTATCCCCCACAGGCGGTGCCCAAAACGAAGACAACTCACAGATTTTCGTCATGAACAACTACTTTGGGATTGGCATAGATGCTGACCTCTGTCTAGACTTCCACAATGCACGTGAGGAGAACCCCAACCAGTTCAATTCGCGACTCCGCAACAAGGGCTATTACGTAAAGATGGGGCTGCGAAAAATTGTTGGTCGCAAGACGGTCAAGGATTTGCATAAGGAGCTGCGCCTTGAGGTCGATGGCAAGGTGGTGGAGCTGCCGCCCGTCGATGGCATCATAATATTGAATATATTGAGGTATCATCATTTGCGCAATACCTTAAGAAGCGTCGATCTAAAAATCCATCTGCACTCTTTACAGCTGGGGCAGTGGTGCCAATCCCTGGGGTCCTGATAAGGACGATCAATTCAGCACACCCAATCACTATGATGGCATGCTGGAAATCGTGGGTGTCACAGGCGTCGTACACTTGGGTCAAATACAGTCGGGCATTCGTACAGCGATGCGCATAGCACAGGTTTGTACAAATGTCGAAAGCTACAAATCACAAATTTTAGCTAAAAACTCACTTCGCAGGGTGGCCACATTAAAATACATTTGAACACCGACATGCCCGTACAAGTCGACGGTGAGCCTTGGATACAGAGTCCGGGTGACGTCGTCGTTCTAAAATCCGCGCTTAAGGTAAGTGACTTGCGACTCTTCCACCTCCTGTCTTTGGGATTCGCCTTGCATGTCTAGAACGTTACTTTGTTATGGCATGTAGCTTTACAATTTGTTATTATTTTAACCCAGTACTGTACCTCACCTCCAGGCTCATTCATAAACCAACCGCAAGGGACCTCCGTTGCTCTTGTTTGTGAGTCAGCTTCGAGTAGTTCAACGGCTTTGTTTTTTTTTATATATATACTACATACATCTGTACATAAGTTCAAGCAACCTAGCAATCATAACCCCAAACAAAGTTGAAGCACCATTTGTTTAGCCTTTGGTTCTATCAGTTTATTCGTTCTTCAATATGTACTCGTATAAGTTCATTATAGTTTCCCTCTACAATTTCGGTTTCGCTACTGATTGTACACCAAAAAGCAAACCACAGCATACTCGTACCGTACGTGACAATTTGTAATACAACAACCAACCTGACAAGCAGAAACAACGACATTGATGTGATGTTTATATACAAGTATACTTAGTATTGCCAGTGTAAATGGATATGCGTTTAAAAAGCAGAGTTTGATTTTTATTCGTTAGAAAAGTTTACCCACTATGTTCCAAGTCTATGAATTATCGTGTAAATTAAAATACCGATTGGTTGCGCCAAAGTTCTGAGTAAGCCAAACATTTCCATATCTGTATACTTGAAACTTCAGGCGCTACCAAAACAAAAAAAAAAGGTAACTAACTGTTGTACCCCTTGTAATACGTCCCAGTCAATATAAGAATTTAAGAATTTAAAAAGCATTATGATACCTTTTTGCCTTATCCAGAAATGCAACAGCAGACTTGTATGTGTTAAGTATGTTTTTTTTTGTTTTTTGTATGTTTCCATATTTCTAATAGAGCACATGTTGGCTTCAACCAAAAATCAAAATTAATAACGCCCCAATCCAATATGACCGACCCCCATACAATTTTGAACAGAATTATCTCAATGTGCTTACTAAATAAATGATTGAATGGAGCGTAAGTTATCAGCTAGAGAACACTCAAGAAGGGCAACAAGAAACGATTTACTTTAAGATGTAAATTAAGTTCCAGCTTTATAGAGTTCTCAACCGTTCATCTGTGTGTGTATGTGTGTGTGTGTGTCGTTGTGTGTATATAAGTATGCAGTTATCTGGGTCTTTGACTTTGTATGTTTTATGCTACATTCAGGCAACCATGCTGAAGAAAACGAAGAGTAAGCGACGTCTGACGGAGCCGCATATTTCACCGGCGGTTCTAAGTTTGTCGGTAACCGCCAGCGCCTCCGCCGCCAGCACGGCCTTTCAGAGCGCCCCAACCGTGTCGACACAGTCGACCCAATTTGCACAGCAACCACAAGCCGGGCAACAGGCACTGCAGCAGGCATCGGAGAATGGCGATAAGGACGTGGCAGCATCGCCACATCTGGGCAGCACCTAGAGTACAACGCATTCGTCCGGTCCGAAATTTTGGTTTTCCTGCTTCTATTCCTAGCCACAGCCACCGTAATATTTGAAAAAACGAAAAAAAACCATAGTGAACCCAAAAAAACCAAAAGAAAACCAAATCCCGTCCTCTCTTGGACACCTACATAGCTACATACATTCAAAGTTAAACGTAATAGCCGTAATACGATAGGAAATGGAAATCGCGAATTATTGTAAAAAAAAAGAAAAACAAACAAACATTACGCACCTATTAAAATATACCACAACAAACTTGAAAAGTTCGAATCGCATATGTAGAATAAGCCTAAGTAAGGAAAAGAAAAATATGCAAGTTTATCTTCCAGATCAATGGATGTATACAAACATACATACATATATAAATAACAAATTTCGCCAAAAGATCATATTCAACAATAAGTATTAAATCTACAACAGAAAATATCTGAAATAAAAAGTTGCACTTTATAAATAGATGAATTGCTTAAAAACTTAACGAAAACGGAAACGATCGTGACACTCTCTAAGATTGTTAAGCTTCGTAACTGAATTTTATGTAGGAAGTTTTAGTGAAGGCGTAGTTAGCCAGCAGTCAGAGCGTTGAACGATTCTAAAAACTTGCCCACCCATCCACAGGACCACCACACACCGAACCAACAACCTAGCCAACCACTGCACACCACTACAAACAGCAACAACTTTTACCACCGCTTTTAATCTTAAACTATAAACTAAAACTATAACCACAGACAACACTACAACAACAAAAAAGTACACCACACTACATACCACAACGCACTGTCTATGATTTGATTTGAATTGGTTTTTTTTTTATTTAGCCACTCATTTGCTGCTCTACTCCATTAACACGTAATGTGCTCCTCAATGTGAAGATTGAAAGGCCATAAGAAAATGCATTTTCATGATTGCAATGCTTCTTAACATTCATTTACATATTTATTCTTCTAAAATATTACCTACATACATATATCTATTGCAAGCATTTGTAATCCAAAAGTAATCTTTAATTTATATTCCTTTGAATTTTGCTTGATTTCTGAGCTATTCTCATTCAACGTTTAAGCCAATTTAGCTTACAACATTAGCACAAGCGTATTCAACAAATAACATAATAAAAAAAGCAATGTAAAGCATTTACTAAGCGAAACAAATTTTACTTTATGTTAACTCTATTTTCTTACTCTCTTTTTCTCTATTTAACTAAACTCTCTCACGCGCTCCAAAAAAACAAAAAACTACACAATACACCAAAATACAATTACAACAATACTACACACTTCGCTCTACATACTCTTACAACAATTTTTCAAAATTCACGCCAATTACCTATCTCTACAATTATTGATAATCCGCCGGACGGCAATTATTTTAAAAAACAATCTCTCTCCAATACGAACACATTTGAATTACCGTTAAATGCCTTCCACATATGTAGGCCACCATGTTAAAAAAGAACAAATTGAAAATGAAACGCCGCAACACGGAGCCGACAATGTTGGTCGCTGGCTCCGCTACACCGCAGCTGTCGTTGGCGCTGCCACCCAGCGTGGGCGAGGCAAGCGATTCCGCCGAGGGCGATGGGGGCCCAAATAATACGGACTTCTGAATATGGTATAGCGAGCGTTTGATTTAACGTGCTAATTACAATGCACCAGAGAATCCAACGACACCAGCCAATCAGCAATTAAAACCAAATCCAACCAAAGCCCCGCCCATCCCACCAGTGCAATAGCCAAAGTCAACTCAAATCAAAAGCTTTAATCAAAATTAACTCTTATGCCACGTATTCGTAGGAAAATTTCCACTCCATGCCAAAAAGCCTATTCAACATTTCCGCGTCTCGTCTGCAATTAGTACGTTAAACTCAAACAGCTCGACCAAAGCCGACAACTGTCAACAAATGTAGGCAGCCCAAGATCGACAAAAGCAACACAAAATAGCAGAAACAAGAAGAACAAGAACTGTTTCTACAACTACAACTACTTACTGTACTAAATGAAAACTTACAACTAACCAACCACACACTCGTACTTCAGAGAAGAAGGGCAGTTAAAAATGTTAAAATTAGCAAAAACAAAAGTTCCGCAAACACTGCAATAGCCTGGCAAAGTTGTATAAAATTCAAGCTCAATTATGTTCCTTCTCTTTTCGTTCCTATGCAATAACGAATAACAGATTTAGTGATACCGTTAAAACCGAAATCGTAAGAGCCAGAAAAGTAGGCAAAAAAAACAAAAACAAAACAAAACGAAACAAAGCAAACCAAACCAAAACAAAAAGTACAAAATTGTTAAGAATTGTTTAATAATACTAAAAAGAGACAATGAGAAATTAATTAAACAAACTACTAGACATGAAATCACATACCAATTATGAAAGCCAGCGTTGTCCCGCCGTCCTCAACTAGGGAAGCGGATAGCGTTGGTATAGCGCTCAGGCGCAAAACACGACCAAGCTAGGACTTAGCAGACAGCAAATGCGAGAAAATTACTATGAAACTTTTGAAGGAATATCTGGAAAAAGCTGTAAATTGCATAGTTTTGTAAACTAATTGGGACGCAACAATCGCAGAGTCAAACCATTCGCTATTGGCAAAAGGCGATCTGAATTGGCAACACAAATTAAATCAGAATAGGAGTATTGCCATGAACGTACGTATTTATGTATGTCGAAAGAAATAGTTAAAGTTAAGGTAAAGAGCATTTTGGATTGTGCAATTGGTATTAATTTTCTCCGCTGCTGTTTGCAATACATACATATATGAAAATATGAATGAAAACGAATGCATTTTCTAACTGACGCAAGCTGCCTGTCAGTCGATCGATCAGTTAGAGGCGAAAGTATTCTCCCTGCATTTGTTTAAGAACATTTTTGGATGGTGAATCCGCAGAAGAAAGAAGAAAATCCGAAAACAAACTACAATTTCAACTTAAATGCGCTTAAAAAGAAAACAATTTTTGAACAATTTACTAATAATTTTACATTGCATATTTTGTTACCCAACATCCACACTCAGAACACCGAATGCCTCAGGGATGTGATGGTTGCCAAAATTCCGTCGAACGCTTCCCGGAGTGGGGATATTCACGTTGGCACCGATTGCATCCCTTAGGCTGATGCCATAGCTCTGGGGCAGCTGCAGATGTGAATATCCCGTTGCCTGAAACATCTGCGGAACATGTGCAACTGCCCCAAACGCTATCCTCCAGTTACACAAACAGACAGTTATCCCTTTCGAGACTGTTATGCATGCACGGAAATCGCATAACAGTGACCAATCCAACACACATTTTGTTCTCGATATTTATTTCGAGTCCTTGACATTTTGCGTTCAGCAAATCACCTCCAGCTGCGATTAAGGGGCTCAGTGCTTGCGGTTAATCAGAACTCAGCCGATTTCCGTGACTCACAGTGTGGACACGTACACCTCGGACTCAAGCAGGATGCTATGCAATGCACGGACACAAAAATGCGCGTCAAAAAAAACCAAAAACAAATCTAAATTTTTTAACGTTATAATACATATTAAAATTGTTTAGCTAAAATATTAAATTTGGAAAGAAATTTGTATTGCGTAGCGTCTTGCGCCTATTCCAGTGCGTGCGGTCCGCCAAATTATTTTCAATTGATTTTGAAACGATTAGCTACAGGCACATAAATTTCAGCTCGCAGGTGATTTGGATTCTCGCCTCATTTCGTACAAAAATACACAGCCACAAGGGACATGGAGTTTAGGAGACTTTTTGGTTACGTTAATTAAATGTATTTCACATTAAATAAAAAAAAAAACTAGCATAAGATTAAGCAAGAATGAGAAATAACTATAATATGCAAAATATTCAAAGAAATCCAAAACATAATTACCAAGAAAAATCTATAAAAAAAACAAAACAAACATAAAAATACCAACAAAAACAACAACTAAAATACTATTTATAGTACATACATTGATGTAGTGTTAATTATAAGCGAAAAAGAAAATTATTAAACCGAAGATCTTGAAAGAGCTACAAAAGTAAACCAACAGCCAACAACCAGAATACATAAGTTGCATGAACCGTAACAGATTCAAGCCCATAAATGTACAAGTAACTATTTTTCTCTAAACCAAAACAAAAATGCAACAATTTTTGCTCCACATTACGATTAATTAAAGTAAATGCAAAGACGAAAGGTGGCAAACTTTTGAAGCAGTTCTTTAACAGACTACGCAAGAAAATAATGGAATTTAATGTACAATAGCATCGCTCTAAAACATTATTTATTTGAAATGAAACAACCGCAAAATCCAAATCCGTTGCTAAAACAAAATTCTTGTGAAAAACAGACACACAACGGAAATAACTGCAAAATAAATGTAACTGAAATAACAGAATTTTCAAATGTGTTCTATTATGGGGGCTTGGGAGTCTCACATCCGGCGACTCAAAACAGATGTAAGTATGTACTTATGCATTTTATTAAAAATACATTCCTCACTTCTACCCAAAGTAAAACAATAAAATTTTCAATTAAATCGATAATATTTGGAATACATAGATATACATATCACTTCAATGTCTTAAATATAAAGTTATACATTAATATGAGAGCCTTTAAAATAACTGCGATTGCACTACATAGATCAAGCACGGTGAGACCTCTCAATTTCGCTCGTGAGAATAAAGATTATATGACTTATGATAATGAAGTTGCACAATATCAGAAATACATACGTAAATGATTATAAATTCCTGACCGGCTATATACGGCAACTATTTGTTGTTGTCTGAATCTGACGAAGCTCCCGATGCGAGAGGGGGCGTCGATCGACCATCGGATTGCCCTTGGTTAACTAAACGCTGACGTTCCAGGTACATGGAGACCTTAATGTTGCGCACCTGATGGTTGTTGATTAGCTTTAAGAGCGCAATAACGGCCAAGCCCACTGATGTAGCAAAGGAAACCCATGCGCCAAACTGTGCTGTTCCCATTTCCATGTAAAAATTAGAAGTATCAATTTTTTCTGTATCCCCACGTATGACATTCTGACCCGCTGATGTCTCGCATGATGGAAAACGTTCGGTCATTCCGTCGCACCACACAATGAATCCAAGTGTTATAAATATCGCTGATAAAATTGAGATGGCCAGCATAAAAATTCCCAGCACAACATCGATAAACAGGGACAAAAATGAAGGTTCTGCATCCGCATATTTCATGACCCAGAATCTGCAAGGCATACATAGATACATATGTATGTATGTAGCTTTTTAAACAATTGTCTCAGATATATACATATGTCGATATATACATACCGAATGATCTGGAGTATGGAAATGCACGATAGAGCTATGCCCGTTAGAAAGGAGAAGTTGCAGAATCCATCAGAGGCCCAGTTAACATCAAACATACCATCCTCCTCGCGCCACTTTCCGGTGGTAAAAAGCAGACAGTGGTCACTAGAACGAAATTACTCATTTCTGAATTATGTACTACATACATACAGGGTGCGCCATCTTTTATGTCGGTATGTAAATATTGAATAACTTTGTCATTAGTGACCGATTGACTTGATTAGACCAGTGTTGAAAACCTCAGTTGAAGAAATTGTACAGAGCCAAATTAAATAAAAATATCTCATACTTGAAAATCGGTTGTTTATTTTCAAAGATATTCAATGTTTACAGACCGACATAAAAGATGGCGCACCCTGTATGTATATATTTATGTACATACGAATTTATGTACATAACTGCGCATTAATACATACCAAAACTCATGCAGATTTATCCTGAGTGGTATCCAAATGCAAAATGAGAGTATTAGCAATATTATATGACCAGTAATTTGGCTGAGCAGCAACTTATTTGCCAGTGCCATTTTGAAACGCCCAACACCAAATACGTACTATGTTTTAATAAATGTAATTTGTGTGTAGTTATTTGCAAGTTGCAAGCACAGAAGGCAACAGCTGATGCACCAAGTTAGTGTGTATTGTGTGGCTAGTAGTTTTTTAGTATATTTTATAGGTCGATTTAGGTCGACTGGCAGCACTGGTTACGGCCCATCTCTAGTTTCTGATACTCGTAAAAAATTGTAAATTTTGTTTACATTTTAAGAATTAGAAGAAAAAGAAGGTAAATGTTTATCAATTTATTAATTTTATTATCTTGAGCCGCATTACCACAAGCTGATTCTATCGCATGTGTGTTTTGCACGTGTATTGCGTGCGTTTTCTTATCGGGAGCTTGTGCTGCTAGTTGTTGGTGTATGAGAAATGCAAATGCAATGTGAACAAAGACCAATTAAAAAGAATGGAATAAATGCATTATACGCTTTGCTTTCTCTTCTCTCTCCTGTCTATGTCTATCCACAGCAATGAGATTGAGATTGCGACTGCAATAACTTACTGTGAAACAAAGGTGAACAGCATACAGAAGAGCTGAAATTAAAATTGTACTGAAACCATTTTGTTCAGCAGCAGCAGAGACAAATCGGAAGGGGAACGGTCAGTTTTTCAATGTTGCGTCTTTGAGTTAGCCAGCCCAGGGGAGCCAATGTCTCGGCAACATCAGCAACCAAAACAACGACGACGACGACCAAGGTACAAGCTGTTCAATGCAAACAGTTTGTAGCAGCACAAAGAGCTGAGTCAGAGTTTGAGTGCAGGCAGGCAACTGTGTCCACGTGCGCCGCGCAGACCGAAGAAACAGGGTGGCAGGTGACCTCATAGTCAGGGTAAGGAGAAAGGGCACGCGCCCCCATTCAATGGCAATGCAAATGAACCCTAGATACAGTATAACAAAAACAATAAATACATGTATTCTGTTGTAGCTTGCAGTACGACGTTGACACGCTGGACGAGATTCAGGCTGATACGCTTGGCTGGCAGTTAGTTTGCATGCTAGGAAAGTGAAAGAGAGATTTGTCTTTCGTTGTCCTCTTCTTTTGTTAATTGAACTTAGATCATCAACGTGCACTGCCATTAACTATAAAAAGTATAAAAACACATATTTAAAAATATTGTAATTAGTATATAAAAACTTAACGAGTGTAACGACTACGGTTACAACAAAATGTCCAACTCCCACTACAACAACCACCAGCAACACCAGAACAACTACCAACAGCATCAGCAGCAGCCGCACCATTCCAAGAGCAATGGTGACGATCGGCATGGCGACTACGGCCACCAGCAGCAGCATCAAGTGCTGCACCATCAGCAACGCTATTTAAATGGCCACAGCTTGAAGCCATTGGATCGTGTCGCCGTGCCGGACATGTGTCTTTTCTGCTTCGAGGTGCTTGACTGTGAGCTCAACAACATCGACGGGCCGGGCGTGCCTATGTTTAGTAATGATGCCTACCCCTTGTTCGTCACCTGGAAGATTGGACGCGACAAGCGGCTGCGTGGGTGCATTGGCACCTTCAGTGCCATGCAGTTGCATAACGGACTGCGCGAATATGCGCTAACCAGCGCCTTTAAAGACTCTCGCTTCGCACCCATTTCGCGTGACGAACTGCCGCGACTGACCGTCTCTGTGTCCATTCTGCAGAACTTTGAGGAGGCACAAGGTCATCTGGATTGGCAGCTCGGGGTGCATGGCATACGCATTGAGTTTCTTACGGAGCGTGGCTGCAAACGCACAGCCACCTACCTGCCGCAGGTGGCCACCGAACAGGGCTGGGATCAGACGCAAACTATTGACTCATTGCTACGCAAGGGCGGCTACCGAGCAGCTATAACTCAGGAGTTACGCAAGTCCATCAAGCTAACGCGCTATCGCTCACAGGAGATTCAAATGCATTACAAGGAGTACCGCGAGCAACTGGAGCGACGCAGTGCTCAATTTGGCAAGGTGCAGTGCTAACAATTAGACAAACCGGAGGTGGAGCACCAATGATCGTCCTGGCTCAAGGCGGGCATAGTGCTCGTCGTGCTCCTCCTACTGCTAGCCATTGAATTTAGCCAGGGTGACGCGGATCGTGACAACGGTATTTCGGATACTTTACCCTATGCTTGAATTAAGACGGACATCCGTGTTGTTCGCTTCTTAAAATATTTGAAGTTAATCAGCTCTTTATTTTCTTTTTTCACCCATTTTGTTGTCGTTTTAAGCTTGAAGGCTGCGACTGTGTTAGGTAGAAAGTGGCATCAATTTAACACAATTTCTTTTATACAAACATGCATATTTGCTTATTATACTAGTATAAACGTCGTTGAGCAATCAAATCAATTAGAAATAATTTACAAAAACAAAAAATTAGTTACCTTTTAAGTTAAACATTTTCTCAAATTCTTTTTTATCGTACCCCCAATTGCTGGTTTCTACTGTTAAACCATATACTTGCTATATATAAAAACCTAAAAATAATAAAAATGAAAACGAAGCAAAAACTTAAAAATACACAAATTCAAGTTTAACAATTATATTAAATAGTTTTAACAATTATAACAAATTATAATACTAATTCTATGCGAAATAAATAAATGGGCGGCTTCTTTCTCCAGAGCCGTACAGAGTAATGAAAAGAATTGTTCCTTCATTCCCAGCATTCCAGAAGTAAAACATCATCACGGTCTCTGCTATAAAGTTACATATGTATGTATATGTTCTCTTTATTTTCGTGTGTCGTTAAATCTTCGATTTCTAAGAGCTATTCGTCAATGCATATTATGTTCTCTCTATATGTATGTATGTATGTGGAAGTGTCTTGGTAATTTGAGCCTTCCTAACAAAACCGATTAACAACTAATCTAATAACTGGCCATGCTAAATCAAGCCTAAGCCATAAAAACCTATATGAATGCAGTTTACAAATATTTCAATTTTGAAGAAGCACTTCTCTAATGGTTAATGTCAATTAATTAACTATGCCTCGATCTAGTACATATTGTAGCTCATTTGCTGCATTTAAAACTTTTGCCCTTTATAGCGAGCGCAACACAAATGAAGCTGAGCGTTTTCTTTCTTTCTTTTTTTGTTGTTATCTTGTCAATTATCAACGTATAAAAATTGTGTATAATTATTATAGCATGAGCGTAATTACTTGTATCTTAATATTTCCATTATCAATACATAAAAATGTTGCATAATCATCATAACTTGAAAAAGCGGTGTACATTCACGTGCATATTATTTTTCGAAAATATATAGTATCTAGCCACTATACATACATATGTATGTACATACATATGTATGCATAACAATGAATTTATGTGGCGCAACAATATGCGTCTGGCAGTAATACAAATAAATTAAAAACAACCGTTTAACTTAAAACTCGTCGCATGGCAGACACACGTTCGAAGACTTAACTTGTTTTGTTGTGTGTTTGTGTGTGTGTATATACGAACATACATATTTATGTATGCATGTATGTATATATGTATCATATGGGTCTCTTGAGTGAGGCGAGTTTCTGTGTGCTATAACCTCCAGTCTCAGTGCACGCAAAGAAACTGCTCCAAGCACGAACACTATGTGGTCGCCAGAGCGTTCCACTCGAAGCGTGGATTCTTCGAGTGTGTAATGGGTAGGCAATCGGGCTCGACCAACTTCCACATTCCCTCCACCTGTTCCACAGCGGCTAGACTACAGTAGGGTATCTTGTGTATAACCTGACGCAGTTCGTTGGTGCTCCGTGCTGCTCCGCCTGTCAGTTGTCGTGAGCATGTGTCCAGGGTAGTTGCATGAGCCACAACCAAAATATTTCCAGCTACAAAGAAAGACAAGATGCATTAAACGAGCTGTACTGTTGTTACTATATACATATGTACATAAAATACAAAATTGTGAAATTTTTGTTAGTTTATCACTCACTTGTCTGCTCTAATATCTGCAAAATCACATCGTGGTTACGTGTGTAGAACTCCTCAGTGGACTCCTTTAGCTGTGAGGTTAGATTGCCGGCGGGCTGTATCGGCTTATAATCTAAATCAATGTTGTATTTCGCCTCTTTAAGCTCGTTCTTGCTTAGCCAATCGGGTACACCGCTCGGATACCAGGCCATCCACTCAAATAGGCCAGGCTCCAACTTAATTTTATGTTCGCCACTTAGATTTAGTCCTTCCAGTGCGCTGGTGCAGGTCTGCACGCAACGATACGACGGTGAGCAGTATACATGATCGATCTGCACCTGTGCCTCTAGCAGAGCTTCGCCAGTGAGGCGTGCCTGAAACAAACCTACATTTGTCAGCGGCGAGTCATTCTGCCAGCCCTCTGGGCTATTCTTGCGCCGTGGCAAATTTTTAGGCATGTTCAGATCCTTGCGAACGTAGTTGCCAAACTCATCGAAGCAATATGGTATCCAGGTGCCAAATGTGAAGTCGACTCGCTCACCATGGCGCATTATATAAACCTACAATACCAATGCGGGAATTAAGTAAGATATATGTCATTTTCTAATTGAAGATTACATACCTTACGATTTTTACCGAATCCTGACAAGGATGTCGCATGTTGTAATGAAAACGAATGCGAGTGCTCCGAATGAACGCTCAATGTGTCGTCCGGCCTCGGCGCCTGCGGCTGTGGTGGCTCTACCATTATTTCGTCAGCATGCTTGGGCACTGATAATGAGCCAGATGATGACATATTCGCTGTGATTTCAATTGTGGGCGTGTGTGGATTGTGCTGATGTGTCAGATTGTGATTGTTGAGCAGCTGCAGCTCCAAACAAGGTTGCAGTGTCTGACGCAAGTATTTTTCAACACTTTGTTCGGATTCCTCTGTGAAAGAGGAGCCCTCTATAATTTCTGGTTGTATTGAGCCTAGAGAGATGTACGAGTTATAAAATAAATTCATTGACGGCAACAAACTGGCCTACTCTGTTGCCTTTCCCGCTGGCGATCTTCAGGCTCTGTGGATATGCTGCGACCATCCACTATATCCAGGTCCTCAGCAGATGTAAGCGATGGTGTTATGCTCTTGGACAGTTGCACCACGCGATGAAGTGTCCAGGCGTCCGACTCAGCTGTGCGTTCGGTGTAATTGACAGGAAGATGTCCAGCGCTACCTGTTAGCCAGGATATACCTTCGGCCCAGCCGTCAGTGGAGCTGTCAACTGCTTCGCTGTTTAAATAAATGTAGTCTCCTATTCGCAACTCCAATTCATCCGTCTCGTGCGGGCTGTGCGGATAAACGACCTTTTGTACCTGCAATTCCGACAGAGTTAAGACAATGCTTGCTGTAAATTGAATTGCTTGCTAACTTGTTTAGTGGCAAGTCTCGGATCGCGTGAGTACAACCGCAATTCCCAATTGGATGCGCAGCTGGCGTCAAGTGTTTCCACAAGTGCTTTTAGTGCATTAAATTGTGCCTGCGGAAACTGATATGCGAGCGTCAAGTGCAGACTCTTTACGTGCGGCTCCAATGAGATGGCTACGAATAATAATAGGCATCTATTAGTACAATGCTTGCCGACCCTATGGAGCGAACCTTAAATAGTGATTGCATGCACGAAATAAGCATCGTCATTCTTAAAAGCAATTAAATGATAAAGATAAGAATGTTTTGTGTGATTGCTACGGTGTCTATGTGTGTTGGGGAAATGGTTTTGAGTCATGCATGAGGTGTGAAGAATTCAAGCATAAGTATGCAGACATGTTTCCAATTTCCATTGAACAATTTTTCATTCAAACTTTCGATAAAATGTATAAGCCACAAGTCATTTATGAAATATAATGATTCAAAGTAGACTGTAATTTTGAATGATCAAGTGTGGAATTAGAGTTCGGAACATGTCTTAATCTATTGATCTATTGGAATTAGATGGCGCTTACATCGACTGCTGCGTGGTATGCAGCGTGTGCCTGAGGAGACAGCGCCACACCAGGGAAAGCAGGCTACAATGGCGTCCAGTTGCTCGTACGTATCGCTTATAACTGTGATGATGCGTTATCCGTTCGCATACAACAGCCCAACAGATTAGTAATGCAGGCAGATAAATAGGAAGAGAACGAAACCGTAAGCCACTCCGAAACTGAACCAAACCGAACCGAAAAGGAACGAAAGAGAACAGAAAACCAGATTTTGCAAAAAACTAAAGCCCCAAAAATAGGAGTGCACCAATAATACTTTTTACTGGCACCATATGCATACTTGAGTTGGAAACCTCTTTGACGTATTGCAAAGCGAGGCGTTTCAGATAATTCGCATCCTCTTCGGACACAAAGAAGCCCATGAAATTCTGGCTCATATACGGTTCTAATTTAATCGGCCGATCCAACATTGCGCCGGTCATGTCAACGACCTGCTTAAGAGCCTTTGACAATTGAAGAGAACATTCGTCCGGAGCCTGTTCATTAAATGGTGGGAAATTAGAAATGACTTACAAAATTTCTTGTACTGTTTGGCTTGCCTTGAAGAATGATACGAGCGTTATGTGTGGCACATAGTTGTGAGCTCCATTCCAGCCGCACATCAGTCGCGATTTCGACCAGAACTCCTCCAATTGCTGCAAAAAGGGCCCAGTGGGACAGGCATAAATGATATATTCTCGTGGTGCACACTCGTCCAAGGTGGCATCGTTTACATGGGCCAGCAGCCAGTCCGAGGCAATTTGCACGCCTCGATTGCCTGTTGAAGCTAGAGCCTTTTCGCTATGGGTGTGGGCGTACATATTTACGTAGGTGTAGAACAGGGAGAAATAATCAATAAATGGATCTGCGTATTTCTTTTATTTGCCCGTATCGTATTGTGGATTGTGTGATCGAACATTGCTGGGCAGTTGCCTAATTTTGTCCCAGTTGACAAATGAGCCGCTACAGGGAAACGAGGTACATACATACATATGTTACTTACGCTCTATGCCTAGGAAAGCCCATTTGTAGCAGAGTTTGCAGCGGCGTCAGATGCTGCTTCGAGATACGCGTAGGCGTTTGGTTCTTTCGCGGCGGCAACGTAGCCATGTTTAGGGAATGCCTCCTGGGTATGGATTTGGCAGTTGGACTCCCTCTTGGTAGGAATTTTAAGTTGTTTTCTTTGATAATTTATCAATTTGAATGCACAGTTGTCATCTATTGCATATGTATGGAATAATAACTACTTGCCGATAACTTTGACATGCATCAATGCGAAAGCCCTAGCTGCACTTTCCGCAGTTCATTGATGTAGAATGGTTTAAAATATTACAAATATTTCTCTCAATGGGAACAATGCCTTCAAAACATTTGTTGTAATTTAAGGTATTAAATTCCATAAAATCCCTTGTGTTGGATCTAACATAAAATTGCCTGACATTAGTTTTGTTTACAACTGAACCGCTTTAAGCAGCTGTTAGCGGCTGATGCAGGTTTATCAAATCACTGAAAATATCTTATTGTATATCGCCCTGTGCTTATCGATATTTGTGAATCGACCGAAAAGTATCGATTACATCGAGCATAAAGAAACAGGAAAACATTGTATTTATAAGTCTGAGAAACAACGCTACCAAAATTAACTGCGTAGTTGTACAGTAATAAGTGCGTACGATAGCGAAAAATTGTGTAGTTCAACTGTAAGTTTAAATATTCGCTTTAATTGCTTGCAGCGAGCAAAAAACAAATGCCAGGCAACTGTGAAAAAATTGAGAAAAAATTGTGTTACGCAGCAGTATGGAAAATGCCAGTGGAGTCTTAATCTCACACACACAAATGCAAATGCCTCTGTAGTTGTGCACAAAAACAAGTCACTTGTGGACCAGCGGGATAGTGCGGGTGCGAGGCTAAGCTCGCAATTTTTTTGCTTCCGCTCATATTTTTTTTATTTGTTTTCCATTTTGAAAAATGTTTGACTTAATTATTAATAATTACTACACACTCCCCTTGGGTACAAATACAGTTGAATTCGAAGGGCGTTTTCTTTTCGCAAGACCTACAAAATATTGTTCTGTCTAGTCTTTTGTTTTGATTACGCAGCTCAATAATTGGCCTTGATAATATTAGTTCATTGTTGCCTTTGTCACTTTCTCCGTTGTGCATTTGACGCCTAATTAATCGTCATCAAATGTTCGTTGGCTCGATGCGGGCAGCGCTTGATAGTGAGGATCAGTAGTCCAACATAATGCGTGGCGATGAGTCATGGTCATGAATGAGCTCAAGCAATTGTTTATTATTTTGTTTATCAGACAAAGCTGAAAGCTTTGCGCAAGATATTCTGGTAATCCGAGTCGCTTCTGATAACGGAAGCAGCCTCATAATCAAATTATGACAGCGTTAAGTGCATATTTTTAAACTTGAATCGATATGTCTGTCTATTTTGAAGCAACCAAACCCCCCGCATAAGGCAACAGAAACCACTAAAAAAAACGACAGCAGCAACTGCAACAACAACGATATGGCGACCCGCAAGAAATCTTTGCTGAAAGTCATTATATTGGGAGACAGTAGCGTGGGCAAAACATCGCTTATGAACCAATATGTAAACAAACGATTCTCTAATCAATATAAGGCAACAATTGGAGCAGACTTTTGCACAAAAGAAGTAGTAGTCGACGATCGCGTGGTCACAATGCAGGTTGGTACCCTTTAGAACTTGCCTTTGTTTGTTTAGTCATATGACATTTGCCGCTAGATTTGGGATACAGCTGGCCAGGAGCGCTTTCAATCACTTGGTGTTGCCTTCTATCGTGGCGCCGATTGCTGCGTGCTGGTCTATGATGTGACGGCACCAAATTCATTTAAGAATCTAGATTCATGGCGTGATGAGTTCTTGATACAGGCCAGTCCGAGGGATCCCGAACATTTCCCATTTGTTGTTCTGGGCAACAAGGTGGACCTGGATAATCGTCAAGTAAGTCGAATGTTATTTTCCTCAGTTTTTTATTTATCTAGTTTCTTGTTATGCTAGGTGTCTACACGACGTGCACAGCAATGGTGCCAATCGAAAAACGACATACCTTATTATGAGACTTCTGCCAAGGAGGGCATAAACGTGGAAATGGCGTTTCAAACTATAGCCAAAAACGCGCTGCAACAGGAGGCGGAGGTAAGGATATTGTGAAAAAGCTGCTTTTAACGGCACTAAATTGAACTCTTTTTTTGTGTTCAGGCTGAGATTTATAACGAATTCCCCGATCAGATACGCCTAAACTCTGATAGAAATAATCGTCCTGGCAATGCTGACAACTGTCAATGCTAATAGAATCGATTGCAGAACTAACTTCAGAAACAAAAACAGTAACAACGCAAAGTGGATAATTAAACAATTTATATTATTAATGTGCAGCGTAATATTGAGCATAAAAGCGAATTGGGAAAAACTAAAATTTGAGAGCGTGTTGTAACCTTAAGTGAAATAATTTCAGCAACTAAAGTGGTAATAAGATGCTAAATTCAAGACAACTTAACGCATTACAGCAGCAGATTTAAAGGGCTTTTGAGAAGAATCCAACCCTACCTACGTAACCGCTATACTATATTAAAGTATAGACGCTTGACGGACACACATACACATGAATATGGTCTATTTACTCGTATTACCCCATACATTTAAAAACATACCTTTTACATATTCTGCATGCCCTCCTAGTACTATTTTGCCATTAATTAGTAAAATTTTTGCACGCAAGTGGCTGTAGCCCCTGCAACGACAGCAGCAACAAAAATCTAAAAAAGAAAAAACAAAATCTTGTGATTGTAAATTTAATAAAACATAATAGACAACTTTTAATTGTAATAAATTTTGTACATACATATGTATGTATGTATATCCATAATTTGATTTGATTGGCCAAGCCTTGGCTAAGCAGCTTTCCGTTTTGCTCTGATAGACATTTTCGTACAATACATTCGAGCGTCAATTTGTATTAGTTTATTTTACTATTTAGTAAACAGGGTGAATTTGCTCTACTTTAAAAATATGTTTATTTGCTTAGAATCTGTATTATGTACTTTTCCACTAATATAATTTTGATTACATATACTTGAAAATTTGATTTTATGTTTAGATTGTACAATAAAAAATTAAACAAAACTCAATAAGATTTACATACCGACATAAGATGAATATTAAAAATAAAAATTAACTTTTAAATAAATTGAGAATTGCGTATGGATTAGGTTTAAACCGCCGATACTATCGATACTTGCATCGATAGTTTTTGCAGTCAGCTGTTGCTCCAACATACACACACATGCAAATGTAGCTTTACATAAATTTCGTTACGAGCCTAACGCGATTTCAACGGCGTATGTCAAAAATGTTAGTAGTGGTGCCACCGGCACCACCACCGCCGCCACTAGGGTCCCTTTTGCGAAACCCATCTCAAACTTTTGGAAGGGACGAAGCTGTTCGTACCATTACAAATAACGGATTTGTCGAGTGTTCATGGGCGTGGGAACACCCAGAACTTCAGAGAGGTTGCTACTTTAATCGCGTGTGCGAGAATGATGCACCGAAGCAGTGTCAATATTATGACATCCCAGGCCTATTACAAGTTGGACCTACCTGTGGCCCAACCGCATTAACCATATTACTGAATGCCACTCAAAGAACGACAACGCCTTCAGAACTGTGTGCGGAGGCGAAGGCCTTAGGCTATACTTTGAACGGTGAAATCTTCAGTGCGCAATATTTATTTGAACTCACGCGAAAACACTTGCTACTTGGGCCTGGTGAGTGCCAGTTGTATAAGGGACGCTTGTGCTGCGACAAGGTCAAGGAATTGTTGCGAGCTGGAGGCTGTCTGCTAGTTCCGTATCCTTTTCAAAAAATAGAAATCTAGCTTCAAAAAATGAGCACTAGTTCATGTAGAGAAGTATGGATACTACTGGGGGGTAATAAAAACTCTGGCTGTTATCGATAATTCGTGGTACACGATAATCGTCAAGTTTTCGGTTCATTGTACAAAAGGTACATTAAGTGCTGCCAAGTGATTTCCGAGTTGTTTGTGGTTTTCAGCGGTAAAAAGGCACACTATTTGCAAATTGTAATTGTTGTTTGGCAATCGTTGAAATTATAAATAGCGATATTTATGGCCACCGAGGAGGAGCAGGTACGTTTTACTTAAAATATTCTGTGTGGTTGGCTGACTTGTGTACTTGCAGCTCAGCCAGGTTATTCTGCCGGTGAAGGAGCCCCTTGATTTGATACGCTTGAGTTTGGATGAGAAGGTGTACGTAAAGATGAGGAATGAACGCGAGTTGCGTGGCCGATTACACGTAAGTTAACATACGGCTTATGGCGCACTTATAAAAATGCTTCTTTTCGACATATAGGCCTTCGATCAGCACTTGAACATGGTGCTTGGTGATGCCGAAGAGACAGTAACTACTGTAGAAATTGATGAGGAAACGTATGAGGAAGTGTACAAAACGACAAAAAGAACAATACCCATGCTTTTTGTGCGTGGGGATGGTGTCATATTGGTATCGCCTCCTATGCGAGTGGGCTAGACATAAGAGTTTTATGTTACACATTTCTTCCTCATTTAGATCGATAAATAAAGAGTTTTACATTGTGAGCCATTAGACTAAAACTGAAAATTGTTACTGAATTGTTTTTACTTAATTCACAGTAATACCGCGCTTATTGTTTTATGAATTTTGTTTTCCTTAACATTCTGTGTACCGCTGTAGGTACGACGCCGATGTCAATCATGCGCCTTGTTTGAAAACTGGCCATAGAGCTCATTGGGCCCTTGTCTTAGGTTATCTGATTGATTCAAGAGATAAGGTTTGTTTGGATTGATAGTTTCTAACTATTCGCTAATATTTTTTAAAAACTTCATATTTCCAGTTCTTTGTTATTGCCCGCCATGGAAAATCGAGTAATTTGGCCGTTTGGTCGCTGGACGTCTTGAGCGAAAGTAATGGGAATCTTCAAGAGTTCGCACAGCCTAAAGGTTATCCGTGCAGCACTCTTTTTGTACAACCCCCCGGTGGAATAGGTGGTGTTTTAGGATTGAGGGAACGTGCAATCCTAGTAAACGGTTTGCCTCTGCCCATTGTGCATGTGTGCTAAGAGCATATTTTCATACGAATTAATGGAAGATTGTTTATTTTTAAAGCCAAATTATAATTTTGACAATTTCAAAATTTAGTAAATTTTAAAATTGATGCGCCAATAAGTATTAACACCTCTATCACTATAATCAATATTAAAACAATTTTGTTATGAAGCACACTGCGGCTCAATTTACGTATAGTTCTTTGAGCTTCCGACATTTCATGATCTATATTTTCCAGCCGGTCTGTAGTGCGTAATAATGACTCCCGCTGAGTTCCCAAATCGGAAAGCACCTCTGTACCTATTTGCTCCGTTTCACTTGCAATTTGATTAGAACGGTCCAGACTGTTCTTCATATTGTGGAGGACCCTATATGTGTCCACGACTAAATGTTGTTGCTGGTCATGATCTCTGTTGTTGCTGCCGCTGGGCAGTTGAGTGTAGCCGCCGTGAGACATCTTGAACGTGTGTCACAAAATCTGTAACACAATTTAATAGTTACTAACTGCTTTGTAATCCATGACTACTTAAATATAAATGTTTCACTGCCTCTATGCGGGTCGCCCTTTGTGGTTATGGCAAAACCAAGAAACTCGATATGAATTTCTTTAAATGCACTACGAGTTAAAATCTCACGAACTATTACTTCAAGCATTCGCAGGAAAACGCCAGTAGAATGGCTGTCGAACAGAAATCATTGCTAAAGGTCATCATATTAGGAGACTCTGGCGTTGGAAAAACAGCTCTAGCTTGTAAATATTCGAACAGCTATTTTCCTATAAACACGCAAGCAACGATTGCAGTGGAAATTCTCACCAAACGGATTCTTGTAGATGATAAAGTGGTCTCAGTTCAGGTAATTACAGATGGATCTTTGTTTGTCAGAACCATAAAATGTATACAGCTGCGTTTCTTAATAGATATGGGACACAGCTGGAGCAGAACGTTTTAACTCACTAGGCACAAGTTTCTATCGTGGTTCTGATTGTTGTGTGCTGGTCTACGATGTGACGAATAAAAATTCATTAAAGAATTTGCAGACTTGGCATGACGAGTTCCTAAAACTAACGGAACCGGCAAATCCTGAGCATTTCCCCTTTGTTGTATTTGGCAACAAGACCGATCTGAAAAATCGCCAAGTGCAGGAGCGTCAAGCTCGGCTTTGGTGTCAATTAAATAACAACATTCCCTATTATGAGATTTCAGCTAAAGATAGCAGTAATATTGACTTGGCTTTTAGAGCCGTTGTTGAAAAAGCTCTCCAGCGCGACACGAAACAAAGTAACCCGCAGGATCTTGATAGAATCACTTTGTCCCCACCATTAGAAACAGATAAAACTTCTGAAAAATGCTGTAAATAGCTAATTTTACTAATTTGCTATATTGCAAAACTGCGTAATAAAAGACTATAAAAAGAATTTATTTATTTGTTGGTTATTCAGAATGGTTGTGTGAACAACAATCCGATATTATTCACCTGCTCTTGATTATAAAAATCCCGCAGGAAGCTTTGGCAGCTGCGTCATATGAAGGAAAATTACTGAATGCACAAATTCTATCGGGACTATATAAGCTATCGATAGTATTACAGCTGTTGTAATGCAAACAAATCGTTGAATTAAGCAGCAGTACAAAATGTAAATCAAGTTTCGCGTGTGGAATGTCCTTTTACTAATTCTGTAGAAATTAAGGGAAAACAAATCTGTTCTGGGAACTTCGATTGCGATTACTATGGAAAAACAGCTGATTGCTTCGAAAAATGGGTTGCAGCCCCACCGATTATTTACAATTTCTCAAACAAAAAATTACGAATTTGCGTAAACTAAAATTGTAAAAAACATTAGATTAACAGCATTTTACGAAAATCACCGCGGATTCTACCCTCGGTTGGCCTGCGACTCATCCAAAAATGTATTCATTAATTTTTCGGACACCTGTTGTCAAATCAGCGCTTCATAAATAAAAACAGTGTTGGGTAATTCATATTTTCCTTCTGATTGGTACTTTTATTTATTCGTTGAATTACAAATATTTTAATATATTTTAATATTGTTTCTTTATAGAGAACAGTTTGTTTGGGATTCAGTTTCCATTGTAGATCTTACGCATGAAGATAATATTTAACAGCTGGGCAAATTTATACAAGCAGAAATTCAAACAAAAGTTATATTTCTTCCCATATGCGTATAATACGGGGAAAAACTCATAATAATTCATTTTCAAATTAAATTTAAGACCTGCCAGCTGTTATCCAAACAAATTAATAAATGATCTAAACAAGAATGGAATGCTATAGTTGAGCGCAACTATGTAAAAAGAGTCCGGCACGCAATAAACTTATAAATGTACCCTTTCTGTATAAATTCAGAAGTCCAAAAACGATCCCAATTCGAATATACAATAGTCAGCATCTTAACTAGCATTTGAGTATGAAATACGATTGAAAAAAAACATGTGATCGATGCAAGAACAAAGTCATGGCGCCTGACATACTGCTAGAGGTATTGATATCGTAAAGTGATAAAGCCATTTTCCAGAAGATGCCGGTACCGTTTGTGGTGACAAGGAGATGCCATAGGCAGGCAATCACTGATGAGTTCAAAACCAAAAGTGAACTAACTAAGAGATCATTTAGTGGCTATTCATTTCAAACGCCATGTCCATCACTTTGTAAACAAAAACAGTTTGTTCGTAATGCGGCGGCTCAAGGTTTATGCTTGTCATAAATGAAGCAATTATTGATCGAGCTTCTCGGATGCTGTAAACAAATACTTTATGTTATATAAAACAACAATTTAGATTGTTTCTTCTTTAACTGTAATATATTTAGTAATAAAATTAGAAATTATAGAGCTTACATGCTTTTTCATTTCACTATGCACTCTCTCAATGCTCGGATTCCAGTTCAAATGGAAAACAATATTTGTAACTTTTACAATAAACCTGCAATCTGCATTCATCTACTACATACAATACATACATATGTGGTTTGCCTTTCCAATTTTCTATTTGTTCCATATACACATTATATAGATGCATGAATATATAGTTTGGTATAATTGATATCATATAACATTACTAATGCAATTTTTGCCATAAACTGTTCACAATTCGAAATTTCAAAAGTCACAACAATAAGAGTAGTACACATTTTGTATATGTTTGTAGATAGGTATATGTATATGTATGTATATATTATATATAGTCCGACGTACATGTCATTTGTTTGATTTAGGTAGGACATAAACGACGGGTTGGTTACATAAGTAAGTGTTTGTCTGCCAAGTAATTGTAGCCTTAACTTTGCTTCCTGCGTACCACTAGTTAGGATCGTTGTTTGAGCGAGTTGAGATCGACCCGTTAAACGCCATTAGTCGTGCCTTCCAAACGATTTGACAACAATTCCTATCTCAACATACATACATAGGTAGTTCACGATACGTAAGCGATATACATATGTTTTTAATATGTTGGTATATACTATATAGACAGCTAAAGTTTTGGGGCTATATACTGTAAGACCAATATTTTCCTTCGATTTGTTTTAACTGTAACTACAAATAGGTTTACTAGGTTTTTTATAATTTCTTCCGATATTTTTGACGCGCGGTATTTAATTGAATAAAATAACGTTTTGAGTTTATTTGAAAATTATAATATGCTTGCTATGTATGTATAGTAGTATGTATATATTTCTTATGTTTTGGAGTGTGGGCTGTTCATATGAGTGTGTTTGTGATGTAGCGTTTGGCTTGAACGTAGTATCTGATAAATTCACGATTTGCATACCGAAAATTAAATTAGAGTTACATCCTAAGTGTTTACGAACTAAAAATTTACAAATATGTATATGTAATTATACAATAAATTATCATTCTTCTTCGTTTTATGTATGTATATTATTTATTGCCGTGCAAGCATGTTGCTTGCTTTCAATTTTTGTATGTATGTATGTATGTATGTATATGTATTTATATGTATATATGTGTGTGTCTGTGTTTAAATGTCTGTTGTGTCTCCAGTTGTTGTATATGAGAGGGTTTAAAATGACTAGGATAATTCAGCACAGGACATTGGTGTGCAACCAATGAGTGCAATTGGAAAATTCTTGACGTGCGTTTGCCACTGCGAGGAGAGCTGGAAGAACTTCACGCCAGTCCATTCGGTGCCGTCGATATATACTGCAAAAACAAACACACATACATATATATATATATAATAGAAGAAAGTGCAATGGAGAGAGGGACCTACCACGCAGCGGCACGGGATGCGACTGCTTTGGTGAGCAAATCAAACGAGCAACGCCCTCAACACACTGCTCCTTCTCGAGATCACGTTCTTTATCCTTCTTCTTACCCAAACGCATAACTACAAGGATCACAATATTAAAGAACTGCCGCTCAGTTGACTTCCAAAATATGCACTTACTCTGCTTCTGCTTCTTCTCCTTGGTGGCAAAACTAACAGTCAGTCCATTGGACATATCACCCAGTTGTTGTGCATGTTGCGGCAATCGCCACACCTGCAGATTCCTAAATGTACTCTTAATGCTATTCTTGCCGCCGGCATCGCTACCACGCGACATGCCACTCTTTGACTCCTTGACATGCGTCTCTCCAGGCCTAACTAGCGGCCAGTAGTCCACCTGTAGTTCAACGGCCTCGGAAGCAGCAGCGGCAGCAGCCAGTGCACCGCTAAACGTCTGCGTCTGCTGCGAAGATGGGGTGCCGAGCACCTCGCCGGCCCCACGCTCACGATATGATGAAGCCGATGATGGGGGTGTTTGCAGCGGCGGCGATATGCGTCCCATGTTCTGCTGCAGTTGTTGTGGCGGCGAACCGGACACAATATTGGGCGAGCTTTGGTTGCCTATGGGTATGGCCGAGGAGCTGACGGGCTGATTCACCGAGCTAGCTGCACTTGTGGCCGAATATGAAGAGCTGACGCCCTCTTCGAGATCCAACGATGCTTGGGTCCCGTCCAAGTACCCAATGCGAACATCCTGCAAAAGAGGAGCACTTTAGTCATAAGCATAAGGAATTGGGAATTGTTTTCTATACTCACACTCACGAACGGGACAAAGATTTGGCACGAGTCCTCGTCTTTGTAATTAACCATGGCCTCGGCAATGGGGATCTGTGTGCAAGGACCTGCCGCGAGCAAATACCGTTGTATACGCTGCACTAACTCCGCAATATCTGACTTTCCCACTCCACCTGCATCGCCCAACGTGGCAGTAAGTGCGGTGGCATTCACTGTAGTTACTGCACTGACCGCTGCCGCAGTCGCAGCCGCCCGTTCGCACAGCTGCGTCCAATTTTCGGAACCAAACATGGCGGCATAGGCCTGATCCATCTGGCTCAAGTGGCGGGAGACGCTACCGCTGCTGCTCCCACCAATGGGCACTAAGTAGAAGCGCAGATGGTTCAGCCAGTCAGGTGGACGCACCCCCAACAGCTCCACATAATGACGCAGAGTGGCGCCTTGCAGCCAGTCACCTCCAATGAGCAGCACCTTCACAGTGTGCGGTGGCTTGGCGTTCGAGTTGCAGCTACAAGGAACAAAAAATGGGTATTGGGGATGGTCAAGATTTAGATCGGGGATCACTTACTACTTCTGGATCTTGGCCATGAGGGCCTGCAGCACGGCCTTTACTTCAGCCGTATTTTGCGGTACAAAAGCCGGCTTAAAGGAGTTGGCGAAGAGCGTTACTAATTTTGGCAGCAATGTGCTGCCTCCTAACGCCTCAGGCGGACTTATGATGGTCACCACCTCGGGTATAGTGATGTCTTCGCCAGCGAAAACGCGGCTCAGCTGATCGAGCAGCATTTTGCGCGGCTCGACATTAGTTGGAGACAGGCAGGTCTCTAATACTGAACGTGGTTCAGCGCTAAGGCTGAGTGTTTGCTTCTTCTTGCCGCCGGTGCTGCTCCCGCTGATGGCGATGCTGCCAACACCACTGCCGGGCGTATTGCTTGAGGTGCGAAAGAGACGCGAGCGTTTCTCGGTCTGCACGGGTGTTACACTACTGGCCATACTGGCGGCCACCGAACTCACTGGGGTCAGCTGATGTTGCTGATGCTGTTGCAGACGCATGTGATCCCTGTCGCGAGGGGGACTATTCTGCGGATCAGATATCTGACCGTCAGTGTTGCCGGCATTGCCCTCATTGCCCGAGCTGTCGTTGCGATAATCGATCCCACCGCGATCTGCCGGGTGATACAAGTTAGATAGTAAGTGGGGGTCGGCTCACTGCCCAGTGAACGGGGGGTCTAGAGTCTGGGTAGACTAGAGTGGAACTGATTAGGATTGAATTGGGACAATAAACAAAGCACTTAAGATATATGCACTATAGGCACTGGGTCATGCATACATACAAAAATGTGTACAATGGATGGAGTGGGACCGAAGGGTGTTTAGAGTTTTGGTATCTTTTGGGAACGGCTGCACTGGTCGAATATTAATTTTACGACGGCCCGGTAATAACCAAATAAACCTCCCTCCCCTGCACTCTGACGCATCCGAAAATAAATAATGCCTCAAAATAGCTTAGAACTTGCGTCTGCTAGACATAAACACACAAATATACATGGTAGGCTCATACACCTGCGCACAGTCACGCATCCGAGTCATGTAAATAAATAATTAATACAAATTCCGGCTACAACAGTCAAGAATATAATTAGGACCCTTTATGTGATTATCGACCATTTGCTAACGGAACAGGGAACTATTAAAGTTTCATTCATGAAGTCTCGGGGACACTTTTAGTGTTACTTATCAGAAGAATAAGCGGACGCCGATAAACCTTTACTATAACGTATTTACTAGTGTCTTAATTAATGAAACCTTGCACGATCTCTTAATATTTGATATTCTGCTTAGAATCGGTAGCTCAGGAGATAACGAACAGTTAGTATTGTCAGAACAAAAAGGAACTTTCTCTTGAAAAGATCTACATCCAGGAATTAAGCTAGGTCGTTCGCATGGAGGATGGGCAAATAGTTCGGCGTTATCTATGGGTTTATAGACAAAATCGAATTAATAAATCAATCGATAGTTCAGATTTACTATGTCTAGCATGGAATATATACAGACAAACTATATGTGGACAGCTAGATTGTTTTAAGACTGAGCATGCACAGTAATTTACACCTACAACTACTTTTTTCGACTTCTACAAACAACAAAATGCGGCTTAAGTCGGCACTACTCAAATATATAGCTGAGCAAACGGTATGAGTACAAATATCAGGTGAATTAGTGTGCGTGAGCGTGTGTGTTGAAGTAGTCTTTGAGTGTTGTGGATGGTGGGTGTGCTTTCAGGCATGACAAAGGATCTAGAGTGACTCATGTTTGTAAGTATATGTGTTCGCATTAACGCAAAAGGGGAATGGCTTCTCAGCACAGTGGATGCTCACTATCTAATTGATGGGTGGATTAAAAATACATATTTATTCAGGTAATCATTGTCTGTTCACAGGCAGGTTGATGTTATTTGAGTGAATCATATATTTTCTTGTACGATGTGGTTCTGATTTGCGAGCATCTACCGTACATATCGTACATGATTTGTAAATAGTTGGTGTAAAAGGGAGGGAAATAAGTCTAAGAATTTCGGGTGTCGAGGCAATTTCAGATTGTATATATTGGTAGTAGTATGCATGTAATTTGGATTCTGTGGTTGTATTTGCGAGGTGTTTAAATTAAATTAAAGTATTTGATTTTGGTATTGTTTGGTTTTTGACTTGCTGTAATTTACACAGACCTGGTGTGGTGGCCGAATTGTTATTGTTTGTTAAATGAATGCTTTTTGGGTTTTTGTTATTTTCAATATTGTATGATGAATTGGTCAATTGGTCGCTTTTATCCGATGATCTGCGCTCAGAGTTGCCTGCAAAAGAAATTGTTCAAGCCATGCAAATGTTTGTTTGTTTGGTATTTCTTTTTGTATAGTTTGTTTTTGTTTTTTATTTTTAATTACAGCTAAAATAAATCAAAAACATGTCTCTTATGGTTAGTTACATACATAAATGAAAATGTACAAAAAGCGTTTTAGAAATGAATGCTCATCTTGATACTGTTGTTGTTGCACTGAATACCCGAAATCGATTCGCAGTTAGGTAACAAAAAAAAGTAAAATAAAACTATAACAAGAACAACAGACAAGGCGCAAACGATTTTTTGTTAATATTTGTCTCAGGCATTGGTGGCTCATTCTCGTGCTTTTTCCACATAATTAGGTTTACGTGAATCTCAAAAAATGGCCGTCTGCACGACGTCGAGTGCGCAGGATTTATTGCCAGCATCGGTGTGTGAAATTTTGTCCTGCCGCTCGATTGTCCTTCTGTCTGTCTGCGTGTGTGTGCAGTGATGGGAGAAACAAATTTGCGACGCAGCCTTGACCCGAGTGAGGACGTGTTGCTGACAATGGTTGCCGCCGGACAAGGGTACGGACAGTCGAATAGACAAACAAATACGCAGCCAAGAGTACAAGCGCCTTGGGCTGCAACAATTTTAACTGGGCCGAAATTATAGGCGGAAATAGCGCACCCTCTTGAGTGGCTCTGTCTGTGTCGGTTTGTTGAATTGTCTGTGTGTTTTTGTGTGTGAATGTATGTTTGTTTGATTGTGTGTTGTTCTGTTGTTGTTACATGATAAACGTTATGCAAATGCCAACAAAAACAACGAAACGAAGAACGCAACGCGCTAAAGTCAAACAAGAGAGACAAATTGATAGATGTACGAGTATGTAGGTGTAGGCATAAATGGAGATAAAGAGAGCGACAGCGAGAGAAAGATACTGATACAAGTAGCTTAATCGTCAAATTCAAATCAATTTACAACAGATATAGTATGCTCTCTTGGATAAGTACATATGTTTAAGCTTCTATGTATGTGTAGGGATCTTTAGTGAGTTCCCTACGAGTGAGTAAAAATCTGCTCCAGAAACTCCGTCAATAATAAGTACACCACACGTCGTCGTTTTAATCAATTGAGTACAATATTTATTCATGTGCAAATTAAATCAAATTAAATTAAAGTTTATTCATAACTTGTTCACAACGTCTGCTCGCTTCCGAAGTCAAACTCTTACTCCTAAAACGATATACTTTCTTAGACTACCCTGGACTGACCACCCCGATAGTCCGATGATTATCTGCTGGTTCAAGAGCTGCCAACCCTACATTCGGCCGTCCTGATTCATTATTCGACCCGAATGATGGAGACCACATTTTCATATACTCTGCCAGCGTATTGGTCTTTAATGGCCCTTCACCATCGCCCACTTTCTCAACAATGTACCGGCCATGTCTTAGTTTACGCGTCACAACATAAGGACCCAAGAATTTTCCCTTCAGCTTCAATCCGGCGCCAAATTGGGTACGCTTGATAGCGACCATATCATTGACTTGGTACTCTTTTTCTGGCTTTCGGGACTTGTTGAATAACTTGCGATTTTCATCTTGTATTTGTGCTATGTTCTCTTTAGCTGTCTTGCGAATATCTTCTTTCTCCTGCTGCAACTCCAAAATATACTCTTCCTCTACAAGCTTTTCTATATCACTGTCATACTTGGTTCTCATTTGTATGCCTGTCAGAATCTTAAATGGAGATATCTTAGTACTTCTCGGAGGGGTGGAATTTATAAACGATTGTACCCTACCTACATGCTTGTACCAGGCTTTCGGATCCTCTGCGCAAAGTTTGGTTAACATAGTAGTGACCACCCTATTAATTCGCTCCACCTGTCCATTACCACGCGGCACTCCTGTCGCTATCAGCAAATGTTGGATACTCTGTTCCTTACAATATTCCTCAAACACGTGTGCAGTAAATGCGGTACCTCTATCGGTGATCACGCGCTTTGGGTTTCCAAATACTTCGCCCTGTTTCTGCAACTTGTCAACCACCTCATCGGCGCCTGTACTCTTTGTTGGATAAAGCCAAACAAATTTAGAAAAAGCGTCGACAACTACTAAAACGTGGTTATATTGTTTCCTAGTCAACTCCATCGGTCCGATATGGTCGATATGATATGTTTGCAAAGGCTCATCAGATTTGTCGATTACATTCAAAAACCCTTCTTTCTTTCCAAATTTCGCGTCACTCACAATGCACTCTACACAAGACTTAACAATCCTATCTACTTTCCCTAACAACTCTGGAATAAAGTATTCTCGCTGCACTAAATCGGTAGTTCTTTTAACACCAAAATGCCCTTGACGATGAGCTGTCATTATGATTTCGTTTTCCATCCTGGTTGGTATTACAATCAATTCCTTAACTGGGTCCTTGTGCAAGATTTCATACTTCAAATAAAAGTCGTCGTAAGTACCGGACTCTAACACTTTACAAATTGCTGCTATCCACTCATCCTGACGCTGAGCTTGCTTTATTCGGTGTCTTAGTGAATCTGCCAACAATAAACAATGCACTCTACTCAATGCATCGACGTGTTTCATTTTTGTCCCTGAACGATGCTCAATTTCATAATCGAAGTCCTGCAGAAATATGGCCCAACGAGATACCTTCACTGGAACATCTTGCTTCTTCATCGTTAACGCAAAAGCATTACAGTCAGTAACGATCTTTATCTTTCTACCAAGCAAATAAACTCTCCACTTCTTAAGAGCCTGCACTATAGCGAGTACTTCAAGCTCGTATGAAGGATACTTTTCTTCAGCTGGGGTTGTCTTACGACTCATATATTCTACCGGGTGGAGACTTTGGTCCTCCGAGTCCTTTTGTAAGAGTATGGCACCATACCCATACATACTTGCATCGCAATGAACTTCTGTATAGCCCTTCTGATCAAACAGTTTTAAAACAGGGGAACAGGATAAATAAACTTTTAACTGATTGAATGCTGCTAACTCTTCCTCGCCCATTTTGAAACAAACATCCTTCTTCATCAGATTTGTCAGTGGTCTGGCAACGACAGCAAAATCCTTAACAAATCTACGGAAATAAGATGTGAGGCCCAAATAACGTTGAACTTGTTTCCGGTCTCTCGGAATTGGAAAGCTTTCAACTGCCGAAGTCTTCTCTTTAGATGGTCTTATTGTTGAATTTTCTATTATGTAGCCCAAAAAATTCACCTTGCGCTGTAACACCTGAGATTTTCCCCATTTAATGCGCAATCCTGAAATCTCTGCGAGGCACAATACCTTCTCTAACTTTCTGAGTCCTTCTTGCTCATCTTTTGATGGAATAATGATATCGTCCATATATAGGATCAATGTACCGTCGTCTATCAATGGTCTTAGAACAGCAAATATATACCTCATAAAGACCGGGGGTGAATTAGAAATCCCGAATGGTACGTAATTAAATTCATATTGTCCACTTTGTGTGACGAAAGAAGTATATTTACGAGAATCCTCATGTACCGGGACATGAAAGAAACCATTAGACAAGTCCAATGTAGTGAAAATACGTCCTTCTTGAAGTTTGAGCAAAACATCATCAATTAACACCATTGGAAAATTGTCGCGAATTATCTTCTCATTAAGTTTTCTATAATCGCAGCAAAGTCTTTTTGAGCCATCCTTCTTGGCGACAAGCACCACAGGGGAAGCGTATTCGGACACACTATGTCGAATTATCCCCTCCTTTAACCAATCCCTGATCTGCCTATCGACTTTCTCATTGTCTACGAAAGGTAAACGTCTAGGTCTTTGACGGACTGGTACTTCATCTGACAATATTATTTTCATTTCGACAGGGCTTCTTTCTGGTTTTACTGGGCTATAATTTTCTACCAATCTCCCTATTTTTGACTTCATATCACGGTTCAAATGCGACAGCTCTATTCCTCGTGAAAACTCTTCGATAACATTGGTAGACAGTATTTGACGGAACGCATTTTCCAAATCATTTATTGAACTCGCTGATTCTGAAGGCCTGGTCCCTTGAGTATCACTATGTTGAGTGAACTCTAAGTCACGGCTTCCCTTTGCCAAACTACTGCTAATTGCTTTTTCCGATGAACTGATTCCTTCCATAACCTGGCACCCTTCACTTGTCGAATGAAAGAACACTCCTTTTTTTCCTATGCTCGCACTGACAAAATCGAGAACATCACTTCCGATCACACCTTCGTACAGCGTATCATCGTCACGGACTATGTGAAAACACATTTCCAAAGGAGCATCGTCCAACTTAGTGACCACATTAAACGAACCCAATGTATAGATTTTCTTGCCTCCTATTCCGATCAATTCTTTTACATCATTTTTCAATGCAACTGGGAAAATCTTTCTGTAAACTTTCTCGCTCATCGTACAAATATCGCTGCCAGAATCAAACAATGCAGTGATCTCTATATTACCGATGGCAACATTTTTAAAAGCCCGATTGAAACTGGTCTGAGAAAATTGCTGGACATTCGACATTTTCTTCTCCCTTTCCATTCTTGGACCTTTTGCTTCGCATTGATTTGCCTTGTGGCCTAGCTGATTGCAATTGAAACACTTGACGGCATTTTCTTTGCAATCCTTTGCAATATGGTTGTTACCTCCACATTTGAAACAACGCCTATTGTCCTTGATTTGAATCGAACTATTCTCAAATTTTGATTTTGTCTTTAGTGTACTTCCTTGATTCGAACTGATCTTTTCATAAATTTTAAGTTGCTCACGAAACTCCTTGAAATTGTTTGCTTGGTATAAGCAGCTCTTGTTTTGCTTGGTATCTTGAATGCCTTCAATAATATATTCAATAATGCTTTCTTCATCTAACTGGGATTGACTTGCCAAAGTACACATACTATAGAAATATTCAATTAAGCTTTCCTTATGACTCTTCTTCCTATTTTCCAATAACTTATGGAGCTGCTTTGCTGTTAACTTTTCACTAAATTCACGTTTTAGTGCTTCCTTCAGAGAATTCCAATCATTAATACCGGATTGACTACTCAAAAATAATTTCGCTGCACCTTTTACTAATGTCCTGCCATAAACAAACTTTTGTAAATCATTCCAATTCACTGTTAAAGCATTAAGTTCAAAATCATGCAACCAATCATCAACTTCCGGAGAGCCATTGCCAGTAAATGCTAAAAGGGAATCTTCGATGTCTCTTAATGTGAACGCCATATTTACCGAACTATCCACTGCTGCTTCGTTTACTGGATTTAAAACTTGAGCGTCTTCTGTCTGTTCGTCCCCAGTTATGTTAATCGTTTCTTCATAAATAGATTCCTCGTTTTCGTCTTGATCGAATCCAAAATAGGACAATAGTCTTTCCTGTAAAACTGCTTTAGCGCCTGAATGCTTCAACTGTAACTCTTTCAATTTTTCCTTCAACTCTGCCACTGTTAAGCTTAAAATTTCGTCGCGTTGCATATTACAATATTAGCTTATTTTAAAGTCTGTGAATTAAATTTACATTAAATAAAGTTTAAGTTGAGTCCGCTTGCTTAATTTGCTACACCATGCATTTCTTCTATATGATCAATACTTGCGTATACAGACATCATATGTGAATACACACAAACAGATGGTGCTTTTTCTTCTTGGTCTTCTTTACGTCGTTCGCAGGGAATACAAGCCGCACGTGGCCGTGCGAATGGCCACTGGTATTGTTCGTCGTCTGTTGCTTTCCTCTATGTTCGCAATGCGGGCGAAAACGAATAATGTCGGTTTTCGCCTTTCTTGGTCTGTAGATCCGTCGTTTTCTCCTTTCCTTAACGTTCGCTATTCTTTCGTTCGCCTTGCACGAAAACGAATAGCGTCGTTTACATCTTCTTTACTCTTTACTTTCGTTGTTTGCTGATTTCCTCTACTTTCGCAATGCGGACGAAAACGAATAATGTCGGTTTTCGCCTTTCTTGGTCTGTAGATCCGTCGTTTTCTCCTTTCCTTAACGTTCGCTATTCTTTCGTTCGCCTTGCACGAAAACGAATAGCGTCGATTAAGTCTTCTTTGCCTTCTATTTTCGTCGTCGTTGTGATTTCTCTCTGCTCTGCTTCTACTGTTTGCTACAGTACCTTCGTCTTTGCGTCGTACTGTAGCCTCGTCGTATTTTAGCTCTTCGTCGTTAGCTACTTCTTCGTTCTACACTTTGGACGAAAACGAATGGCGTCATTTTACGTCCTCTTTACTGCGTTTAGCAATGCTGATTCTCTGCATCTGTTTTCGTCTGATCTTCGTTGCGTCGTTCGTGATAATTTCACAATGTTGCGCAAAACTTAGTGGTTGGCAACTTATACATACACGTACACACACATTAAATGCTTCATTTGTACAATTTCTTAATGTTAATTTATAATTTGCACATTCACTTGTGGTTCTATCCCGGACGAGCCCCCAAAATTGTAGGGATCTTTAGTGAGTTCCCTACGAGTGAGTAAAAATCTGCTCCAGAAACTCCGTCAATAATAAGTACACCACACGTCGTCGTTTTAATCAATTGAGTACAATATTTATTCATGTGCAAATTAAATCAAATTAAATTAAAGTTTATTCATAACTTGTTCACAACGTCTGCTCGCTTCCGAAGTCAAACTCTTACTCCTAAAACGATATACTTTCTTAGACTACCCTGGACTGACCACCCCGATAGTCCGATGATTATCTGCTGGTTCAAGAGCTGCCAACCCTACATATGTATGTATGTTTGTTCTCACCTGGGGTTCCCATCACTCTACTCTCACTGTCGTGCAGCATGATGCGCGAGTTGGTAAAGAAAGGACGAAGCGATGGTTTCGGCGTCGAGCCAATAGATATGCTGTCCATGTCCGGACCGGAATCGTCGCCCTCGCAGCATGACAGCGACTCCAGCTCCTGGAACAGTGCATCCAAGTCCCGTTCGCCACGCAGGGCTGCTGTACCGCGATGAGCCTCCCCCTCCAGCTCCTCACTGGCCTTGAAGCGTTTGAGCAGTGCGACAATTTTCTGCTTAAAGTTCCGCTGTTGCAGCGAAATCGTCTGTGGAAGACCAAACAATTGTGAAGTTATTTTTTAACAAAACATTTTCTGCTTATGCTTATTTATCCAAATTGCAGCACTTCACGAAAGTTATAAATTCGTTGGCCAAGTGCTCCAATTAGTACACAAACTACCAAGACATTTAAAAGAGAGGAAAGCGTGGCTTGAGGATGTGAATGATTCGAATGAACATTTCAAACAAAATGGAGTCATGTTGTCTAGGAACTAGGAGAGTATACATAGCAAGTTTCTTTAATGTGGGCTCAACCGTCTTTGCAATCCAGGCTTTCATCCAGACGGACGGACATGTTTAAATGGACCTATCTCAAGTATTCTTGATTAGTATGACAAGACGAGTAGATATATCTCCGGAAGTATAAGTGCTAGAATAACGAAACCAAATAACCTTAACCCACCGACAGATTCAGTTTATTTTTTGATAAATATGCGCCTGTTGGAACATTTAGTAACATTTAGTAACAAGGCACAGTTGTCTGCCATGCAATGACAACGCCGGCAGTAACAGCAATATCAACAAAGAAACTCAAAGGCGCTCTTACAAGTAATTGCGCAGCTGCCACAGCAAGAGTTGTCATTAAGCTTTAAGTGGTTTTTATCTTTATGAGGCATATGTATAAATGTTCTTTAACTTCAAGCTGACACAGCAACAGGAAGGGCCACAACACCTGTGCGGCACAAGGGAGTCCTAGTCGAGGCAACGCTTAATTTGTTAAGGTTGCCCTTGCTGTTTCTGTTGTTGTTGTATTCTATAAACAGTTGTAATTGGTTGTATTGTTTAAATATTTATAGCAAGTGCTTAGGAAAAATGTTTTGTTTTCGAGCGTTGACTCTGACTGTTCGTTTTATTATTTGCTTCTTTGCTTGTCAGATACTCGACATCCAGGGGCATGCCGCATGGTGCGTATGAATGACGCATTCTCGACGAGCAGTCGCTCCAAAACAGATCCCACAGAAAATTGATTTTCTAATTTTACAAATCGGAACACTTTTTTCCACCGTTACTTTCATTCCAAGTGCGTCAGTCCATTTGTAAGTTATTGTTAGGTGGTCGTCCTACACGTGCCCTAATGTATATTATACGAGCATGTGTGGCACCTATTTTTGTTGTAATCGACTGTTAATTGTAATAAAGGAAGTGCGCATAAACTTTCGCTCTATTTATCAAGTCCAAGGTGTGGGCTGAGCCCACGACTTGCAGTCTGCAGACTACTTGTAATTTGTATTGATGGATTTTAAGCTCATAACAGTGTAGCAACACTGATGCAAGGGCTATATTCGAATACTATAACAACGAACACGATCTACAACCTCTTTAAAATTATATTAATATTAATAGGAATAGAATGCAGAGTCGTGTGGGATCTGTGCCTAGTACAAACTTGCCCTCTAACGGAATTAACCGAAACTGTATGCCTAGCTTGGTTATTCCAGCTCTTATACGTCCTGAGATTCTAGCGTTCATTCAGACAGACAGGGCTATATCGATTTGTCTCGTCATACTGATCAAGCATATATGTATTTACTTTGTTACATAGCAAATAATCTTTTAAAACAAAGAACAACAATCACATTTCTAGAGTCCTTTCCGGTTTATAATAATGCTACTCTTTTATGTGTTCTGCTGGTACAAAAGCAGGAAATCATTTGTTGATTTGGGTCGAAAATGGCAAAATAAGCACATATTGCTGAAGTTAAATTGCACATTAGAGTTGACTTCGATCAGCGGGCTGAGATACGTAGTTTATTTATTTGTTTCCATTCGACTCAACTATTTCAGAGCTAATAAGAAAAGTTTTTTAGACGACCAAAGATAATAAGTCGATACACACCATGTCATATCAATATTTATATAGTAGTATATGCAGGGGATGAAATTCTTAAGAATTACACTCTCTTATACCTTGAATCTGAAGGACATTGGCTACACCAACCAATGCCTAGGAAGCCAAAGCTTATTTAATTTTTTGTTTCAATTTCGTTCATCTTTTTGTCATCTTTTGTCCGTATAACAACCTAACAAGCTCGTATAACTCAGGTCATTTCCCTGTGGAACTTATAATACTCTCTCTTGTTCTTTTGGTTGCAACCTTAAGGAGTCCATTATGCCCGCCCTTCTTGCTCTGCTCCAAAAATAATACACACCTGTGTATGTAAGAAGAACGTGTGAGCACATTTGGCGTTGCATTTATTTTTTCGACTGTCATAAACGTCATCGTTTAGAAAACGTCAGCAGGGGAATTTTCGATATTATATTTGTTCGTATATTGGCAATTGATTGGCCTTGCTTGGTGCATTGCCTCTAGAAAGGCGCGGAAATTTTGGCCAAATACAATACTACGAGTATGTGTAGCAACTAGCTATTTTTGGTATCTACAAGTATTAGGTAGGTCTACAAGTATTTATCAGCTAGAGAAAAGTGTGCCATAAGTGTCAAGAATTTGAAAACAATGACATGCACAAGGCTGAATCAAAAGTCAAATGTTTCGAGCACGAATATTTCGTCTATATTGAAACGACGTCTATTCTTAGTTATATAGTATATATACAAATAGAAATAACAAATGTATGTAAAATCCTTGAGGTAAATGAAATTTCATTTGTATTCTGAACTTTATGTTCGGCAGTTCGGCAGGCGGCAATGAAATAAGTATTTTTTGTTTCAATTCCGGAAATAATTGCAGGCCTGTCTGTTGACAAATATTGCGTCAAATCTCATGCGAATGTGGTAATAAACAAAGAAGTAAAACTAAAATTAATAGCAAAGTTATTCTTGTGGCAATGGTTGCATGAATACGTCACACGCCAGGGCTCCCAATAATTGCACTTATGTACGAGTATTTTGTGGAGCAAAAAGTTGTCACATCAAGTGCTAATTAACTGGGAAGTACAACATATACTTTAGCATATAAATGGAACCACAATGAAATTTAAAGGTGACTCCCTTTGGAAACATGCTTTATACGTAAGGTTGACTTCGATCTGCATTTTATATCCCAGAACTTTTAAGGCCTTGAGACAGATGCTTACAGTTCCTGCAGTAAAAATGTATTTATAAATATACTAGTGACTCACCCGACTGAACTTGGCACGCGATGAGCTCTTGTCCTTCATCTCGAACTCACTGTCGCTATCCACTGGATGTTGATGCTGATGCTGGTGGCCCACTAGTGCAATATCCTCAATTCCGGAACGCTGTAGCTTGCGGTACTTGCGCATATCATGCTTGGCCGGATTATAGTCGCGCTTCGGATCGTATCCCAGTTCGTTGGCGTCGTCGTTGAACTCCCCCGAACTAAACTCAACCTCCTCTTCTTCGTCCGAATACTCAGCAACGCGATCTGCGGAATAGCACACAGGCACAAACAGCACAAAAATATCATAAGTACGAGTATGGCACTATATGCATGAGAGTTCACAACTTTTCAGTTTCGTAAAGCTAGAGTTTTTATTAAGTTGCTTAACAAGTGACTGACGCGGCACGTACCAATTCCGGAGACGTGAGACGACTGCTCAGTGATGTACTTTTTATTTCGGTACTTTTTTCCGTGGTGCTTAAATTTGATTTACTCTTGCCGTGCACTTGAGCTGTACTCGTATTTTCATTTGTACGCTTATTGTTTATTTCTGTGTTCCAACTGCGTATTTAATGAAAGCAAAAAATACAAGCGCAATTTTTTATTTTGTTGCTATTTTTGTTTAGCCTTTTTAGTTTGCCTTTTTTTCTGCTACACTAATCACGAGATATCAGCGGCAAGTTATCTTCGTTATATGCACAATTATTTTAATTTTTTATTTTTTGTTTGTTTGTTGTTATTGCTTTGTGCCACACGCTCGGCTGCACGTTCGCCAGCCAAATGAATGGGGCGCCTCAATGTTCTACATATTTTGTATGACTCTTTAATGGCGACGTCGACGTCGACGTCGCCGCCGACGCCAACGCCAGCAGCAAGTGAATCGACAGAAAAGAGTGTGGGAAGAGCAAGTGCTCATACATGCTTATATGTAGCATGTGTTAACAGTTAGCGGCACTTTCTCACCTTGCCAGCAGCGGCGACGGCGGCGGCAGCGGCAGCGGCAGAGGTGCTCCCCACAAATTACGAGCAAATCAATAGAAAATTGTCACAGTCGCATTCCCATTCCCATTCTCAGTACAGTTTTGTTTTTAGACTAATCCTCTCACATTTGGGCCCGAAGAGTGGAATTGGGAATTATACACATACACACATACATCCATACATAAGTACATACTCTGTCTGTTTATAGAGTGCGTTTAATTATCGATAATTCCAAACGAGTGTAAAAACGTGCATTACCGCTATTTCTGTGCGGCAGTGACTATATAGCCACCCCACCCCTCCGCTTCCACGGACTTGTGCGTTATTTAGAGTGCAGCTTTTTGATAAGATTAGTCGTCAGTGCAGGGTCGAGCACTCTCTAATTCGTGGGCATGGTAGCCGTAATAACTAACTAGAAACGGACACATTTTTTAACATATATTGCAAAATGTATTTCAGTAGAGTATCCCACAGTCTTCGGCAATGCAAAACGCTAGTAGTTCTTTCATTTTTAATATCTTGCATGTTTTGCTGCCGTTATCATATACATACATACATACCTACATATCTCGTTTACCGGCCGGTTCTTCACACTACCTACCGCCATAGACAGCGCGCCTATTTTAGAAAAACTCTCGACCAAGTGAATCGCGTGCGATGTGAGTTGAGCCACGTGTGTGTGTGTCTATGTGTGGGTGTGTATGTGTGGGTGTCTATGTGTGGGTGTGTATGTGTGGGTGTGTATATGTATGTGGGTGGGTGCCGGCAGGAGGAGCAACAAGCGCTGAACGTGTGTATAAGTTGTGATCGAGTCGAAACGGAAATCGAAAAATTGAAGTGCTCTCGGCTCTGAGCAACAACAGTTGGGAGGGCGGGGGGCGAAGCGTGTAAGTTTAAATTTTTGACAGCATTAACCGTTAAGTGATAAAAAGTGTGTAAAACAGGCAGGCAGTGACTGGCTAAAATGCAGGCCACGCATGAGTGAAAGGAGTGGTCGTTGCTTGGCTTGTAATTCCTATAGACGCTGTCAATTGGCATGTCAATGACCAGCCAACAAGCAACAACAACCACAATAATAACAATGACCGTCATCACGACAACAAGAAAAACAATGGGAGCCCAAGGTGCGATGACTACAACGACGACGACGACGACAGGCAACTTCAAATTGCTGTGAAGTGCTCCAGCACGCCATGAATTTGTCTTTGTCTTGGCTTGGCCAGAAAGAATGAACGACCGATTCCTGCTGCTCTCTCTCTCTCTCTCTCTCTCTCTCTCTCTCTCTCTTAGTTGCTTCACTTTAATTATTTGCGAGGAGTGGAGTATTGTTGTTGCCATAACGTCGTCAAAGTATCTTAAGGCAACGTCTGCCACCATATTTGTTGTTGTCATTATTAACGTGCCGGTGGACAACTTAATGATGTACACACAAGTCTCGCAGCGTGTGATTGTGAGGAGAGTGCAGAATGTGTACAAAAAGCAAATAATTGCAGGCAATTGGTGCTGCTGGCATGCACATTACAGGCAAACAAAACTGCTTAATGAGCTCGCCGACCGTCTGGCTGGCGGGCTACCCAGAATCGTTTTGGCATCGACTATAAATTTGCAAGTCCTCTTCCTTTTTGCCATTCTCTACCCACGATCTGTTCGCATAACCACTGAATTTCCATGGAAATGTTACTTTAAAAGCTAAGTAAAATGGTCCAAATATTTAAATTCGTATACATTTTATGTCGGCTATAGTCAGGCGCTAGCTAAAAATTAAAAAAAAAAGCAAACAAACAACCATTTATGCGTCATCGGAAAAACTGCGGTTCATGGCGCGTGTATAAGCAATTCGTTTAGAAAACGAATAACGCGACATTGATTTCATGATTTAATGCTCACGGTGGGGCATACATTTGGGATGTGTTGTATACATATATATTGGACAGTGGACAGACAGTTTGTTTGGCTCTGAAAGTAGCACGGAAAGTACACAATTTTGACCTTGAAAAACCCATACACAGCATCTTGTTTTGCTTAAAGTTTTTATGAGGCGTTGTTGTTAGAGATGCCGTCAGGAAGGACGTCAGGATATGGGCATGCGCTTGCGATAACACTGCCTCATTGCGCAATGCCCATCCAAGATTCTCAGAAATATGGGCCAGAGAGGTGGCAGACGGATTGAGCAACATAAAAATGAACAAAGATGCGCTCGACATAATTTACGCATTTTGTGATTAGGCACCTCACGAAGATAGAGACAGAGAAGTCAATGTTGGCAAAGGATGCCTGCACATTGTGCGCAGTCCAAGCCACACATACATACTACATACATATTAGCACAGCTTGTTTCCCTTTTCCGGCCTATCTGTAACGCACAAGGACAAATGATTTAATTCTTCCTTTCGCAACATTGCATTAATGGCAACCGACAGTCATGACAGCTTGCCACAAAGGGTAGCATATGACGAACACGCAATACAGTTCCGCCAATGGCTGCCGGAGCAGCAAAGTTCAATCACGCCATTAAATTGGTAGCAGAAGTAAACAAACCAAACAACCGAAGCAGTAGCAGAAGAGTGGAAAGACGCAGGAGGTTCGCCAGGAAGTTAACGCCTAAGTACATCTGAGTACAAAACTTGGTACCTTGAGCAATTATGTATAGTGTCTAAGATCTAGGGCGCACAGACAGACAAATATGGCTAAATCGACTCGTATTGTCATGTTGATCAGAAATATATACAAATAAATATAAATTAGCTGCTTGTCCATTAAATATATTCTCGGCTTATTATTAACTAACCGTTTTAGCTGCCAGCTTCTATAGTTTCGCCCATCCGAGGTGTTAATGAAATTCAAAGAAAATTTGATCTCACATCACTGTTTCTTGTTTAAAACTCTGTTATGATAATGGGTTCCGGTTTGAAAATAAAATCTCGTGTAAACTCGTCCTTATCCACAGCCCTGGCTGTGTACATAAGGATTTCATGAAATATGCGATATGCACACAAGTTTAAATTTGTTGATCTGCGATGCCGGCACAGACACATAAATAGGGCCAAATAGCCAGCAGGCGTGCTAAAGGAGCGCCCGACTGACTAATGGTGTCAAGCACGGGCCGACACCGACACCGACAGCAACACAAGCCCCCAATGCCAATGGGTGTGGCTGGCAGGCCATGTGCGGGCGTACCACATTCAACAAGCAGGCACAGCTAAACCGAAAACCAGAGGCCCAACCGCAGAAATAGCAAAAGCGGCAGCAGCAGCAGTTTTTGGAGGCCTCCGGCCGGACAGCATACCCGATTTAAGGCGACGAGCTGTGCATGGCACGCTGAGAAAAATCAATAATAAAATAGGTTGAGGTAAAAGGTCTTTCAGTTCTCACTCCTCTTGGGTTTGCAAAGTAGAAACCGGGCAGAGTACTTTGCGCAAATGCAAAATTTTTGTCGTTATTGCCGTAATAGTTTAAGGCGCTAGGTCGCAGGTACAGCCCGCCAAGTGCTAACGTGTTGACCCTCGACTTGTCATGTGTTCCCATTTGAATACATTACACCTTAGGCAATATCGGCTCTACTGCCTTGGCCGGCTGCCAAGTGGAGAGTTCACAATTTTCGACGGTCGTCCGCTGACTGCATTTCATTGCCATGTTAACATGGGCCAGCAGTCGGCTATCTGCTTGTTCGCTCATATGTATAGTATATGTACTCGTATGTATTAAAATTTAATTTATACAGGACCAGTTGGCGCGTTGCATTTTGCAGTATGTTTTTGTGGCAAGGCCAAAACACGTCCGTCCCCAAAGTCATACCATGCATATGTAATGAAGCATCGCGAAAATGTTTAGGCAGCACCCTGCTTACTCTTCACACGTAGATGCTTATTTTTTCGGATACCCGAATCTGAAACAATCAACCCGAATCTGGACGAATAAGTGCGGCGATCTCCGTCCCTATATGGAAGGGTATATACCCTTCCATTGATATTCTACTACTTATTAAGACTAAGACGTATAAGACATTGAATGCCAATCAGCAGCCATCCATAGCAAGCTACACTTAAATATATATACTTATGGTTTATCCTGTTCAAACTAGCTATTAAACTAAAAGGGTATGCTGTGCAAGGAGTGCTTCTACTGCAATGAATTAAGTCGTGTTGGTCGTTACATTCAAGCGCCCGAGAGCTAAGCTACTCAAGGACAGGAAAAGTTTGTCCGAAGCGTGTTGCAAGTTTCAGCGGGAGTTGGTAGAAGGGAAGATGCGAGGAAGCACACAAGTGCGTCGATCGATCAGGAGGAACAACTGTACCCCACACCTTTTACTCAACCAGAAAGAATTTCTCGCTGCAAACGTTAGCTATTTTCATCATTGAATTTTCACACAATTTGTACAGCGAGTAAGGGTGTGGGTGAGCAGATGGGGGCGGTGGAGGACGTGAGGCTGCCGCTGTAAACACAAATAGCAAATATTTTCAGTTCATTCCCATATAAATTGTTGTCTTAGCGCTATTGCTGTTGTTGCTGTTGCCATGGGGCTGCTGTAACCAAGGGGAAATTTACATTTGAAAACGTCCGAGCATTTTTACAAAGCATAGGAAGTACTATATATTTGAAATATGCTGCCATAGCTGCCATGGTAATGGCAACCGCTGACGTCATAAGCGGCAGGCCGTCGCTGTCTGTCGGTGTGTATCTATGGCATGGTGTACATGGCGTCTATGTGTTTCATAAGCAATTACCATAAACATAAAATTAAATTGGGAGCATCAGTGTGCTCCGGTGTGTCCCCCATCCCCGCCAACCATTAGCTACAATAAAAACTGCGACTGATCATCAACACCTCTGTGTGCAGTGCCGCATCATGAGGCGTAACACTTGGCAGCCCTCTGGCCACAGCTGATGCATATTTTGTGCTCATTTTCCCAGGTCGGCAATTAATGTTCGGATTGCCGAATCGTCTGCGTCATTAACACTTTTATTTCGGGCATTATTTATTTGTATTTTATGGATTTTGCAATAAATTCCATTGATTTCGACAATGCTTCAAAGGCGCACGCACCGGCGGAATAGATTCGAATGTACTTGGGTATGCATGGTAGACATGCTCGCGACTTACCTGCCAGCAGCACGCTGTTGTTGTTTTTATTGTCATGGTCAACGGGAATGGAGGAAACGCGCTCTGCACGCAGGCACGCGACCACCGTGCCCGGTCGGCCATTCTTTCCGGGTGCAGTCAATTCTATAGTCATGTCCATTGACTTTTGCAGCACAGCGTCCATGCGTATGATGCCCTCCGCCAGGATTTTGTAGCCCAGAATGGTGCGCGATTTGTATTTCTTCCGACGTTGCAATAAAATGACCAGTCTAGGTGGAAAACCGGAAACAAATACAAATCAGTAAGCAAGTAAATTGTTTGCAAAGTATTAAGTGATGAGGTAACAAAACCTGTGCACATAAACTGTTTAGATATAGAACTAAAGCCAAGATGTTAAAGCTTTATACCCTACAGTCTTTATTTTTCCGTGATGAGTACTATACGCTACTAAGATCGTTGTATATATATGTTAGAAGGCATTTACTTATATTTCATTTGGTCATCCATGGACAGCACTCGCTCGTCACGTTGCGCAATTTCTCCGTTTATTTATAAAATCATTATTCAGAATCACTTTCGTTACCTAGCGAACAAATATTGTGAATATTGAAAATGAAATTCTTAAATATAATTTTTCACGGCTCACTGCTAGCTTTTTTCTGAATTATTTATTAGCTGGGAATTGGCCTGCTTCATTGGCCTTAACACAACTGTTGACGTATATTGTACAGCACAAATTTGAGTTTTAGAGGCTGGGTTTCACTATCCTGATTGATTTTTCGATATGCACCAGCCTTCTCTTGAGGCGGTATGAGACTGACTTCTATAAGTCGATGTATCTGCTAGTATGCCAGTTTAAAGTCCAACAGTTTCCAAATCTTTGTAAATAAACTAAACGCACTTAGTTCTTTCGACACTGCTTTAATATCAGAAATTCTGTTTGTTTTTCCTTCAAACTGATATCAAAAATTTTGTAATCCCGCCACTAAGCTTCCTAACTCGTAGCTATCTAATATTTCTGTCTGAGATGAGAAGTGATTGGAGCATTTAGATTCTTTTTGCCGAGCTGATCGGATACTTTATGTGACAATTTGTATAAGAAATGCTTTGACATTCATTTTTGGAAGTGTTACTATAGAAATGGTAAGCCATTATTTCCTTTAAAACAGCATTAGAAGAATTTAAATAACTCTAGTTTCATGTCAAGACACTATTTTAAAAACTCCGTTAATCAACAGCGTGTAGCTAAAAATGTTCTACATAGAGACAAACTTGGCTAAGATTTGTGTTCTATATCTAAGAAGGGTAGCTGCACTCACCTATTGCCATCTCTCTTGATAAAGTGTGGATATTGTAGACTAAAGTGCAAGTCCAGCTCGATTTCCGTCAGTGGAACAGAGACGCTGAGGCTGCTGGAGGTGCCAATGCCAGCATTTCCCACATTTCCGGGTGTCCCAATGAGCATTGCCCCGCCCACGTTGGCCACCGGCGAGTTGCCCTGCATCGAGGAGCCGGCTGCAGAGGTTTGCTGTAGCAGAGCTGTGGCCGCAGTACCATTGATGGGGATCTCATGCGAGCGCAGGGTCCTCTTGGAGCTCTGCATTTTGACGGCCAGCGAAAGTGAGGTTGTATCACCGGGTAACGGCGCCAAAATGGACAGACGCGTAATTGTCAGCGAACAGAGTCTGCAATGAAAGAGGCGAAAAGAACAATGTTGAGTCACTTCGTTTTATTATAATCATGATGAAAAGCACGGCGTGTGAGTAATGCGCAGATGTTTTTGTTTCGCATGTTTTTTTTTTCCTGTTTGGAACAATTTATTCAGTTTTGGCGAATTGTGTCAAATTTTAACAGACCCTATGCGTTGGCTATCATTTGCTTCTTTGGAAAGCTCTTCTATTTCTATTTTCTCTTCAGCAAACTTTAATACCGACTTCCTGCCAAAAACTGATTCATTATTCAGTCAGTTACCATCATGCGACGCTTTATCGGTCACAGCTAATAATTTATATTAATAATGAACAATTTATCAGCTACAGTAAGAAAAGAGATTATTTAAGTAGATTGATGCATGCAATATCATTTGGAAAAGCCTACCAGGCGGCTTATTGCCGGTAGTATTTTTATTATGCCAGCAAAAACAAAAACTGTGCAGTCGTTTAGTTTATAGGAGAAGGAGTCATGGTAGCGCGGAAAACTGTGCGTTGTAATTTGAGTGAAAAACCATTTCACGCCAAGATTTTCGCTTGCACAACAAATCAAAGGCAACAAACGGTGAAAACGACAACAAAAATGAAAATGTAACGGCAATCAAGCGAGTCAGCTTAAGGAGGGAGAGAGAAATAATGAAGGAAAGCGCGTGGAAATATAGATTTACATCCAATATCAAAATGACATAAAACAAATGAAGCATTTTGAAACCTCAACTCCAAATATAACTCAACTCCAAATATAACCCAAAAAAATAATAATAATATGAAATCAATTCACGTTCGACGAGAGGAGGCAAGAGATTTCTGACACCGTGACATTTCAGGTAAACGAAAGGAAAATTGTGTCCTAATATTAGCTCTGGGCTTGGGCTGTGCTGATGTACTGCCCTTTCGTGTTCCACGTTTTCCCCAATAGATCTAGCCCCAACGAAATTGGAAGTTCATCGGATGAAAAATGCCAATTTCTCATACAAACCGTGGAGACCCATTTTCCCCCCTTGGAGTTAAAAACCAAAATTTGAAAATGCAATTCCAATTCACTCCGACTGATCAGGAATACATATATACTATATGCGTGTGCTTTAAGGGGTCTGCTATGCCTTTCTTTTAGACGTTACATATATTTCCACAAATCTGGCATAATGTTCGGTTATAGTTGTAAAAATAAATGGCTATTAATCAAAACTTCTGATTAATAATTGACCCGATGAAATAAATCACATATGTTTGTAATATCAGTGATTAGCAAAAACTGTTAATTGGCGATTAAAAGTGCATTATATTTTTGAGAAGCCTTGTTATTTGTTAGACATGATTATTAGTTTTTATAATGCCTCTTATCGTACCATGTTATCGTTGATCAACATTTCAATTTCCTCAAGACTGGTCAAGCGACTTTACTGTGCGCCCCAATCGCAGTGTGGTGCTTTTGTTATAAATGTTACATCGCGCAATATATAAATAAATCATTTCCTGATTAATTTTGCTATGTGATATATATACTTATTATATATATGTAGCAGATTAAGGCCTTTGTTGTTGGCGTCGTCATTGTTGTGACTTAAGCTCCAATCTCATCGCGTCCCGGGGGGAAATTACAAAATTTAGGGAGTGGGTCGCTATGCATAATATTTGGAGCAACATCTCGAATTCAAATGATGAGGCAGACCGCTTGTAAGATAAAAGACGAAGTTCTTCAATGCAAGAAGTTGACAAACGACATCTATTGTGCGTTTCCAGTAATGTGGTCGTCGCTAACTAAATTTTATTTTTAGTTGGGCATGGAATGTTGCGCGACTATCGTCACATTCCTAATTAATAATTCATGCATTAGGTAGCTGTCTGGATTGTCGCCAATCAGTTAGCCAATTAGCCAGTCAGCATGCCTTAAACGGCCCTCAAGTATGTACAGTGCATGCTCGAAAGTTAAACATCTTATTATTGATATCCACTTGTATAGTCGTTGCTCTATTCTATTTTAGATTATTTTCCGGTTTTATGTTTCTTGTAATGTGACTTTGATGGCAATAATTTAAAGACGCTTTCCAGTCTTTTTCTATAAGAAACTACATATGAAAGTATGTATACATGCTTATTACACTAGACTTTAAACTAACTCAATACCTCAATACTACTCAAAACCTACCTGTTTTAACGTTTTCACGCTTACTAACGAAGTAGTGTTTTAAGCACAAGAGTCTGGTAATTTGGTTAATAATGTGGAGCTTTTATTTATTTATTATTCTTAAATCGACACAGCTGATCCGCACAGCTGTCTAAATATAAGAAAGACTACTTGATATAGAAGTTAAATAAAACAACTGCTGTTCTTTGTTCCTACAATTTTTTAAAAATTAATTGTTTCTATTGTGGAATTATTGAATTAAAAAGTGTTGGAGTCATCGCTTTGCCATTGCCTTTAATTAGTTTTATCTACAGAGAGCGTTGACTGTAGTTAGATCGCAAATGGCGTGTCGATTATTAAAGGTGTATTTCAAGGGTGAAAAGTGTGCCTGCCTAACAAATTGGAATTCATTTTAACACGTTACACACATTTATATTTGCCAGCCGCGTTGCATTTTGGTTTCTTTCTTTCAGCTTTCCGTATTTTCAAACGTCTCGTTTTTTTGCATTCGCTTTTAAAAATAAGTCGCCATTTATACGTTATGTTTTGTTTTATTGTTTTGTTGTGCTTTCGTTTTGCAAAAACAAAACAACGTGCCCCTCTTTCTTTCTTTTGATTTGTTGCTTTTTTCTGGTTTGCTTGTTTCGTGCTCATAATGTCAATGACTGACTCGCAAATATTGTTGCTGTTGCTATTTTTGTTGTATTGAGGCGTATTGCTATTTGTTGTAGTTTATTTTGCTCGATTTCTGACACTGCTCTCTATTCGTTGGTATGCATTTCCCAAATGAGTTTCATGAATGACAAGCGTCCAGTCTGGCTAGCAAAAAGCTTTTCTTAAAATACCTAAATATTCGTATGCACGTATTTTTTTTTACCCTGCACCCAAACTGCCAAGGGGTTTGCCAGGTTAGTGCGAATATGCACGCACTGTGACGACAGAAAACACAGCGGATGCCTACCTCTGCTATAGATGCTGGTCAACAGGTGTGTTGTCGACGTTGACGATTGATTGGCCGGATACGGCTATCAAAGAGATCTGGGATGATTGATGAATGAAGTGCGAAACCGAGTTTAACGACTGCGACAAGCAAAAGTCTATTAAAGCACAAGTCATCTATCCACCTTATCTACCAAATAATAATAGCACTCTGCTTAATTATAAATGAGAGCGTTTTATAATCGTGTGCCACAGCCAATAAATAGAGCGATACTCTCCGTCTTTTGATTGTTGAGTTCTATTTTCAGACGATTTTGAGAACGTCCTCGACTTAAGAGAAATAACAATAGCCACCCAAAGCAATAAACGGAGGCTGGCCTCCATTACAGAATAAATTTTGAACAACATTCAATTGAAATTGATTAGCAGATGTATGAACATACAAACATATGCATATACTTGTATGTATATACATACATACATATGTGCACACATATGCCGAACCGATTCTCAAACGAGCCAGCCACAAGCGTCAATCAGAGTGTTTTCCGGCGCGTAAAACTGTGTCACTGGCGCGATGCCCATGCCCACCACTTTGATGTCCGGCCCCGTTCGCCCCCCCCCCCCCCCCCCATCCCAATACAAAGTTATGAATGTTGATCTATCGCATGCCGCTTGAAACAAAAAAAAATTCAAAAAGCTTTGCGTCGAGTCTGTGGCGCAATTTTGTTGTGTGAGTAATTTCAGTAGCAGTGCCACCTTTGACATCATTAAAACAATAAAAATGCTTTCCATAAAATATGTGTGTGCGTTTTTATTTAGCACAATGCTAAACTAGTCGAGCATAAGTTGTCGTGCCAGGTTGACTCGGTACCAATCCAGCCCTCTCCATGCTACAACAAAACATAATATATAACAAGGCTTTTTTTTCTTTTCTATCGATTAGGTCCTGTGGTGGATCATTAACTTGCTTTGCGGAAAACAATCCTAAATATCCATTTTTTGTGTCCGCAGCTGTTATGATTGCAAATTTTTCGGACTGACAGACATTCTGATTGTATGTTTTAGACAAATGTGGTTAAAGATGTTAATAGAATTAGAAGAGGGAATTCTATGAATTCCAATTAGTATCTAAATCGATTACTTTCGGGGACTGGACAGCAATCGGGAAGGGTATATTGAAACAGATTGAACGGAGAAGCCAACATCAGCATTGGTGGGCAATACCAAATAAGTATTAAATGATGTGTTTCGGAAGAGGCAAATGCAGCAGAAAGCAGACAAATTCTATAATTTTAACACACTGTACCGTAAGATTTAAAGGGTATTCTAGTTTAGTGCAAATGTACATAATACACCCTCAGATTATATATCTGTCCGTCTGTTTGAGCGAGAGGATCTTAGTAATTATAGGAGATTGACTCTTTAGTGTTAGAGCATTTTTATTTCCCGTTGAAAATATGTTTTCTTTAGTGTATCAAACGAATTATGTTTTGCGGCGTTTTGTGCTCATTATTGGACTGTCTGGTGTAGTTTTGCAAGATCAAGTTTCAAGGGGGAGGGACGCCCAGTGCTCAACAGGGTTTGTGTAAGGGTAAGGGGCCTGCCAGATAACTAGTACTTGTGTTGAAATGCTAATTTAAAGTTGCCGTTTTACACTTGTGCGCCAGAATAGCTCCAAGTACATACCCACAATGGCGTGCTCTGAGTCATTCAAGACAGGTATGCAAAAAGCAGACGGCGGGCTATTTTCATTACCCACAAGTATTACCGTATAAAGAACTCGTACAGGTATGTACAATTAGTGCATTATAATACTAAAGTTAACTGTCACAAGTTGATTGAACAAAGAGATAGCAACTCTACGCCCACCAGTTCATGAAGCTGTCGCATATAGTACGACTGTGTC